GGCAGGACTGCTTGGTGTCAAGTCCAGAAGTCATCTCGCTTGTGTTTCACTGTTTGCGGACAGCACTTCGTTGATGGTGAGTGATAATGTGCCGTTATAAATTTCATTGAATATTCATAAGCTCCCTCATTTCAATGGAAATTTGGTATTTATGATTGGTATTATAATAATAAAATATTCGAATGACATTGCACTATTGGAATATCCGGTTCCACGTGACCTGCGCCGCTCTGCTTGGACACCGAACCCTCGCGTCTCCAGACTCCAACTCAATCGTGAATTGTGCGAGATGTTCCAACGGCGCTCGCTATCAGAAAAAAAGACAAATTTGAAAAGTCGTTGTCTTTGCGTTATGGTGTTATATGCTTATCTTTGCACTTAACGTATCGTTTCAATTCCCTATTTTGCAAAAAAAACGTACCAACCGTTCCGTAAATTTAGAAACGTCAAACCAGATCTGGTATTTAAAATAAATTTCCCAGATTTTAAATAAACACCGCATTCTTGGTGACATGTCATTAGCCCTTTCCTGCATTACCGAACATAAAGTTGATTAAAATTAAATGGTAAAATGACTTTTCGGCGTTTCATTGTGAAAAAGGCGATTTTAGGTCGTTAAAAAACTTTAGTTATATAAATAGCATGGATTTAAAAAGGACCAAGAGTTTTTCCAAAAGCTGATATGAGTTACTTATATGAAAAACACTCATTAAGTTGTAACCAGATAAGGAATGTCATGTCCTACTCCCTTTAAAGCACTTTGTATCAGCTCTTTAGTGATCCCTTCCATTCTTGGCCAAATAATGTTTCGAATGTGTGAACATTTTACTTGACCATGCATGGCCGTTGAGCCAAGAGTAGGACGTAAAATCAATCGTGAATTTTGTTGTAACAATGCACACTGACTGGTTCACGAATTGTTGCGTCTTTTATCTTCGAAAATGATTACAATTGTTAAACTTTGAAGCATTTGTGCAGTAATAATTACTCATGACATAATCAAAGGAATGGCATTAAGGCATGACATAATCAAAATCATTAAGTGAAGTGCTGAATTTGCAAATTCCGTAAAGAAAATTGAGCACTACTCAGTAAGTATTTTAGCTATAATAACCATCGGGGTGTTGTTTTGTTGAGAAAAAACGTTAAAACTTGAAGGAATTAGTTATAATTAGGTCTAGAAATGCCTTTATTGCCAATTTATTTAATCGCTATTTTGAATTAACATTCAGGATTCACGCAATAGTAAATTTGCTAGGTTTACCTATCAAATACTAAAATAACACGAACACCACAGAAAAGCATAAGAAACTCAATTATCGTTATTAAGAAATATCTGCATCTCGGTTACCGTTCAGTTTAAACAGGGACGGTTAATTTACAAGCGCTGATAAAGAAGATCAAATCCAAGGCAGAGGATAAAACTCAGAACAAAATTATTTTGATTTTGAAATCATCCCTTAATGTATTCAACAGCTGTCACTGATGTGAACGCAAGGGTGTACTAAAAAATATAAAAATTCGATATCCGGCTACCAATTAGGATATCGCCGCCGAAACGATCGCGGTGACAAAGACAATCAGTGATTATGATGAAATTAAACATTAACCAGTATAAAAACGCTTTATTGCCGGCTTTTCAATGTTTCTATTAATTTCCAAATGGAGTATCGACCTCCGACGTTCTGGATCCCTATTATGTATTAAAGAAATATTCGATTTTGCCCACCATTTAACAGCCATTTAATTTGGCTTCGATTTTTAATAAGTTTGTCAAAGTGGGTCGTAATCGTGGAGGAAGCAAGGGGTAGTAGCTGCTCGAGATGATAGCCAGATATTTCGGGACTATTTTCGATTACTGGAAGAAAATTAAAATTCTCTAGAAATTAAAATAATCATTGAGTTATTTGATTTATAAATAATATTCGGAAATGCGACAAAAACTGAAAATCCACGAAAGCAAGCCCATGATTACAGCCATGTCTGAAATCTTTCCATGTGAAAAGTGTCCGAGTGGCCGCGAAAACGCTTACTGTTTCGTCACTATTGCATCTTGTAGATTAGTCAACGCTACGCGAATAAACACGGGGTAATCCATTCGACTAACTAATAGACTTCCGCATCTTAATTTCAAGTCAATGATTAGTTTTCAATGATAAATGTTCTTTAGTGATTAATTTTCAAAGCATTAACAAGAGCCGCAGGAAAAGTTGTTGAGAGCCGCATGTGCAATGAATTTTCAGTGATTTAAAATTAAATTTTTCTCTAGAAGGCTATTACTTTTATTTATTTCAAATATTCCAGTGAGCTGCATGGCATTTTTTTGTGCGCTAGACCTCATTAAAATTTGACGCCACGTGTCCATATATTTGAGCATAGCTCTCTTGTTTTGAAAGTAATGATATATTCTACTTGCATCAGTCCGGTTTCGCAACTCCACTGCTTTGGCTGCTAATGTTTTGGTTCATAGGATGACCAATGAATTTGAAGGCAAGCAACACGATATTACCTTTGACCTTTGACACCATTGACATTTCTATACCTTTAGGGAGGCATCTACCATTATGGAATTAGAGGGGGCTCATTTATTCATATTGGGATTTACAAGTGCAAAATGACAATTCATTCAAATACTTGTGTCATGAAACACGGAGTAGAGGATCTCAACTAGAGAATCTCGATTTGAGTTCAAACTACTAAATAAACTAGAATACTAGATACTAAACTGACTCCAAAATATAAAGGAATAAAGAAGGTTAACGTGTTCAACTGGAATAACTGTTAATTTGATATAACAGTAAGGATCAAGAGAATAACCCTATAATATTTCATTTCTTTCAATATTATATTACAATAAAATTAAGTCACATAAACAAACTCACACTTCTAACCTATTAGTATTGACAGATGAAAAGTATGCTTGAGAATAACAATTGTTTTCGAGAATAGCTTTAAAAATGATCACACATATTTTATATTACTTGTTAAAATCCGTCTCTCTTTTTTTATCTTAACCTAATAACAATCGTTTTCACGGAGCAGAATTTTGCTTCGGCTCAATTATTGCGAAGCAATCCATACAATGGAAATCCATGTAAAACAAGTTAAATCATGTATATGGCTCATAACCACGTGCGAATTACTCAATTTTGTTACGTCTAATGGCCAAAGCCACTTTACGAATGTCATCGAACTTTCCAATATCTACGACTTCGAAAACTGTTTTTAGTGTTGATGTCAATATATTCTAAATTATCGGTTAATTTGTTACAGTGTCTGAATTCCTCTGAGTCGGTTATGTTTGCTGATGACGTTGATTTGATCCTCCCTGAAAAAAAAAATTGAACCAATTATTCACAGTTGCAAACCGAGAATTGGCAACATTCATAGCTGAATATTGGATGATAAATTAACTTTCAATACCAATAAAAAATCTATTAATTTGACAATGACAACGGTTATAAGATTATTAGTAGGGTACGACAGGTAATTTATTTATTTTTGTTTATTATGTAATTAACTTTCTAGTGTTTTTCTTAATTTATTATTTCTTTTTGTTTGAGAGTGTGAGAATGTGTGAAGTAAGTTAATTTGTTTAGGTGATTGAATACGTATCACTTCTCACTACTTCAGAACCGGCAAGGTTTTTGGACCAGGACCAGTGGCGTAGCCAGCCCAAAATTTTGGGGGGGGGGCCAAATTTGAAAATTTTAGAAATTATATTGGGTTTAAAACACCGTTCTTCAAGCGCCCGTTCTTCAAGCGCAAAACAACAACAGTTGGTCACCAAGCAAACTGATTCAATTACTCAGCTGGATTTTTGTGAATACAAAATCCATTTATAAACAATTTTTCATTTGAAACAACAAATATTAACAACGCAATTTGAATAAGTAAAATACATCGCCCCAATTAAAAGTTCATCCTTCGCTTCCCGCCAACTATGCTCTACACAACTCGATTAATTTTCTCCTCGGTGACCATTTCACGGTGACAGTGAAGCACACACAAATCAGAAAGGCGATTGGACGTCATTGATGAGCGCAGCCATGTCTTTACCCGTTTCATGCATGAGAAAGACCGCTCAGCCTCAACGGTGGTTGCTAGTAGCGTCATAACGATCTGTATTGCGGTGTACACGCTTGACGAGACAAGATGCCACAAAACTGGTGGATTAGGAATGGAATTCTTGAAAATTTTTGGAGGGGGCCATGGCCCCTCTGCCCCCCCCCCCCCCTGGCTACGCCTATGACCAGGACCAAAAAATTTTGCCCACTAAGACTGGCGTGCGGGCCATGTTAGCTTTATTAAAGTTTTGTTTGTTCTCCTGATTTCATGATCAATTTTTATATTTATTTATTTTATCAATTATTTTACCGTGTACCATAGGGCAAATATAATTACAACAAAAGAGCAACGTTCGAATATATGGACTCGTGAACCAGAGCGAAGCAGTCTTTACCTTTGACCGTACCCTAAAAAACGAGTTTTCAGTCGCAAGAATTTTCACAGTCAGCCGTCACGCTTGGCGGATTAAAAACCGTGTTCCCGTAAATAAAAAGTAATACAGCGCAATGTTGGATTGAATATTAGATCTCATAAGATTCATAAAAAATTTGGGAATAAATAAAAGTAATAGCCTTCTGGCAAAAAAAAAATCAATCCAGTATTCGAAGAGAAAAGCGATTTCATCATGACGAAGGAGAAGAAAAACAAATACAACAACATAATATTGGAACGATCGTTGTGTACACTGACGTGTCCAATAAAAAAGCCTAAAATAAATGATCTTTTGTATGTCTGGATCTTTTGTATGTCTGGATAAATTTGAAGTCAACTAATTTCACGATTTTATTTTTATTCTATATTTTTGTAATATTGATTTTTTAACATATTTTTTGTGAAATAAATCTCATTTAATAATTGAGATGAACTTTGACCCAAGTCATAAACTTGGGTCAAAGGTTGTGGAACAATAACAAAACCACTCTGATGCCGGAGCGAAGAGTCTTGTTTTTTTGTGACAGTCAGGCAGTCGGAGAAATGATGAATAGCGGTCTGGCATTGTGATATTCGATTCTACTTTTTATTGAAAATGGAATTGAACGGTATACTGCTATGGATTGCATACTTTTGTTTATTTATATTTGTATTATGGATATTTGGCAGGTAAGAATATTTACTGATTTATGCACTGCTTTCTTACCGTTTCACCCTGCCATACTCATTTCAGCATTTTGTCATTCTGTCATTCTGACATCGCAATTAAAATTGCACTCAAACTTTGTAACATAATTCTCTGTTTGCTAATCCTCATCTTATAATACAGCAATAGACTACTAATATTGTAATAGACTAGCTGAATAGAACAGCAATCAATATTCAGATATTATAGACCAGGGGTGCACAACCTTTTTGCTATTAGCGGCCACATTGAATTTATTTGCATTTAATACGGCCTCCAGGGGGCTGATAAGCGCGTCGAAGGCGCCCACAAATTTTTTTTGGCTTTTTTTACGTCATAACCGCGTTATGACCCATGCAAGGTGCAGTCTGCCCAATTATGAAGTATGTAGGACTACTTTGAGGTATAATATTCGAATTTAAACAAATTTTTCTTTTCAGTGGACCTACTCTTGAACAAATATATTGCAGCAATTTGCATAATGGTTGCATAATGGTTGATGCCCTCATTTTCTTGTCCCCAAAAGTATAATAAAATGGCAAATATTTTAATGATTTTATTCTATAAAAGTTTCCAAAGCATTGTAGCAATTTAATGACTCCCTTGGTATTGCATGTGGGCTGCCGAAACGTGTGATCAATCTGAACCGTGAAGGGAAATCCCTAACAGCAAATACACCATCCAGATTGTGACGCATCGTGCCGTCTGACTTTTTTGCAGTGCTTCTGTTTTGCTTCAATATACGCCAGCATAGCCGCCAAACCCTATATTTTGAACTTTTTTTTTGTTTATAGGATTTTGTATGTGGACGGCCGCTTTATTTTTTCACGACGGCCGCAGGTGGGTGGCTAACCCGCGACTCGGGAGCCGCATGCAACTCTTGCTACGGTTTCATGCAGCTCTTTTCGCGTCAGTTATTTTAAGGAAAAAATAACTTGCAAACTACGATTCATCATCTTTTAATTAAACATATTATGGTTCATTGTGCATTCTTCTTTTACGTCGAAGATACACAAAGCCCTTCATTCCCTTCAGCATGCAATCGCCCATTAATATGTCACAGTCAAATTCTTTGCTGTGAGACCCCTTTACTGCATTACAACGGCTGTTGTAATCATGTCGAAAACAAAGTTCGGCGGCTGACGCGCATTTTACCATTCGAGTGAGGTAATTAAAGTGCAGATAAAACCTCACAGATTATGTCGTCGACGACTCATTCAATTCTGAGACGGATAGTTGGAAATTCCCTCTAGTCTCAGATAAGGCTGCAATTGAGTTGAAGAGGATTGAAAGAAGGAACCATTGAGTTATGTAAAAGCACTCCAGCCCCCAATGTCAAATGAGCTGTGCGTAGGATATTGTAAATGTTTGGGTCAAAATACGTCTGCGAAACTGTCTACCCTAAAACAAAGCATCGATCTGTTCTGAATGACACCCATGTGAAAGAACTGCTTCGATTGGCTATGAATTTAAAGAGGATTGTTCAGTCAGCCCTATTACGGGTCTCGTGTAGTTTCGTACCGTACACTACGACGTCACAATGACGTCATAGAGCTTGCCAAATACACGTACGATCGCCCGAAATGGCAACAGCGCCGACGATAAAGAACTGCCTAACGTCAGCGATTTCGCTCCTATCGGGATCGTGGCGACACAAAAACGAGAGAAATACCTGTTCGTATAGTTTGAAGGGCTCTATCACGTCACTGTGACGTCGTAGTGACGTAATTTTTAGATGGCTTAGTCAGGTGGGGGTTAGGATTGATAAGTGAAAAAATTGTTTTGCTACGCCTACTATATTTTCATCAATCTGTCAATTAAAAGCAATAAATTCATACCACCTACCACACTTTGAATTAATTTTCATACAATAAAGCTAGGCCATGTGGCACATTGTGCTAAGCGTTAGAAATACGCTCTCCACCAACACCTCTGATTACACTGCGTAGGTTCGCAGGTTTGAATCCCATGCTGAGGTAAATATGTGCGGAGGATTGCTGGACTGCCATCGTACGCTGGGTTCACATAACCGCTGATCGGTTACAGCGTCCTTCGCCATCAAATTATCCATCTTGAAACTAACAATTGGCAAACTTATCTCATACCCGACATGGTCTGGTAACAGAACGCTGAACGAGAGCCCGTGGGTTCGCCAATGATTGAGCTGTCTCATCGACTTTCCTTTCCCTCAAGATAAATATGTAAACCCTATCATATATATACATTACAGAATCATTGTTTGGTGCGTTGCAAAGTTCATGCGAGTTTGGTTCAAAATTGACATTGTTGTTGCTTCAGTTGGAATTTTTTGTGCCAATGGAATTTCTGTTCGCGTCAATGATTTACAGTCACTGGTAAGTAATTTTTTATGCGTATCAGAAATTCATATTTACAGAAATAAGATGATTGAAAATTTTCTTTTGTGACAGGAAATTGACAAAGTTTCTCTAAAGTTGAAACCAAAATCAAGGTTTGTATCTTTCTTTTTGATATATTTTCTTGATTGCCTCATCTAATATGCACAACTGTTGGCATGTTATGCTGTGCAATAGGAACACACCTGCCATCACACTTCCTATTATCCCCCTGCAGTTTCGAGTTCTGTGCTATCATTGAAATAAAATTTTTGACCCTTTTTTGAAAAAAAATTTTGCCACCCCCTTATATATTATGCTCTATATAATTAAGCATTGAGTTTTATATAATTTTCTAGTTTAATTTCTGTCAAATTAAAATGTTTTACATATTGTTTTAAAATTTTAGTCCTGCTGTATCCCTCCATTTTGGTGATGTACGTATACGTGCTGAGAGAAATCTTTCTGGTACCGTACCAGTTAAACAACAGCCGATTGTGAAAAAGAATAGTATTCCAAATAGCTTGAAGATTATGCAATGGTTTGCAAGGGTATGTTTTTGTCATTATATGGTTTTATCGATTCATAAATATTTCCATTTTGTATTGTTTCTAAATGTAAGTATCAATCAATTTATAACTGATAATTAATTTGAAAATTGTTCATTCTTTTTAAAAGTGGAGACATCATTTTTATGTTTCCAAGTTCTAGATATGTATTTAACAACATCCCAGTTGCCGCAATAAGTTCATGTGTAACTCCTATAGCATCATTAGTCATTTGGTACACCTTCAGAGGTAATCTTCTCTATTTAGGTAGGGACCTAAAGAGAAAGTGTAAGAATAATTAAAGCTCTCTTCTTTTTTATATGACTTATATTATTTGCCTTTTGCTCTGAACAAGCTGCTACGAATATGTAAGAAGCTACTGCCTACTCAGTTTATTACACACTGGGTGAGGTGGTGAGCATCAAATTTGAACGCAAGATTTTAATCTGCGACGCCATCATAATTAAGTCTAATGCTTTAATGACTACGCTACACATTCATCAAGCAATCTAACACTATAATATTCAATTACACTATCAACAACGAATAAAATTGAATTTGAGTAACTCCAAGTACTCTAGGAAATTTTGATTACACCTGATTCTGGAGATAAAACATTTTCAATTGATTTCAAGGCAGTTTATAAATATTGTTTTACTGACCAATATGTATAGATTTTGGTAAAATCTTATCTTGGGTAAAAATCATCAAATTCTATACAAGCATGAACATTCAGATTATTTGAAACTTTATTTTATGTATTGATAGTATTTTTTTTATTTTCAGCATATTTCTCTCAATATTGATGCTTTGAATATTATGGTATTGAATGCCTTCATTCCGGAATCTCTTCTTCATTTAGATGTTTCACAAGTCAGCATTTCAGGTGAATTCGATTTATTCAAAACAATATGGAGTATAACTTTGGCTAAAAACCAATCCGCAATGACAAACTGGGGTAAAAAAACTGGCTGGCAAAATGGGGTCTGCGGGCCTCTGGGCAATGATATGAAAAGAGTCTGATCGATGGATCTTTAATGATTGATTTCAATTGAAAAACATCTTTTTGGTTTTGGTTATTTTCAACTCTTACCAATATGATGACAAAATACAGAATGATTCGTAGAGTCGGATCCCGAGTTTGCCTGTCACAAATTGCTCCGAGAATCGATAAATGGTTCAGTGAAAGGCAACTTCATCCATCACATTATTGCGGTTCATGTTTCAAATGAAACATTATCCTCTCTCGTGGGTTAGGCACAGAAATTGATACCTCATAGGATGGGGGTCTGTCAAAACTAAGATTCACCAATAGGCATCGACGACTCAAAAAGTTTGGAAAACTCTGCGCTATGAATTACTGATTCTTAGTACAAAGTATTATAATTCTGTGCTTGTGGTATGTGTGTCAAATAGGTAAATTTTTTTGAAATATGATAACAGGTGGAAACAAAGATGTTGTTCAAAAGGGTGTTGCTGACAGTCTCACAAAGAATCATGGACATAGAGTTCATGAAGAAATGACAAATAAAAGTTCTGATATAACCAGTCTGGGTCTTATGTTGTCTGTTGGTGAAATCAGAGGAAAAATTCTTAAAAGTAATAAATCAGTAAGTAGAAATAGCAGAATTTATGATAAAAACAAGTCTTGAATGCTGAGATCTCCTATTTGAAAATGAATACCAAGTATTGTTTATTTGTGCATTACTGATAAAAATATGTTGCAGACTGACTATTACGGAATCTAAATATTGAATTCAAAACTGCTTATTATTAAGGCTTTTCATATTTTTAACAGTAATTGAGTTATACTATATAATTTGGCATCACAGTTTGAAGATCATTTAGTGAAGCTCTAGCCCATAGGTTCTCAAAAGTGCTCTGTAAAAAAAGGCTCTGTAAAAGAAACCAATGGTCTTCGTGAGCTATTAGTTTACTCATTAAAATACTGACAGGGCTAATTTGATGACTGTCCAAACAAGCAATAACGGTATTAATAGAATTTGACAAGCAGAAAATACATCCGAGCCATTAAATAAAGTAGTTTTATATTACTCAGGAACATTTATCATTAACTATTTTTATTTTTATAAATTTATTATGGAGCTCCATGGATAATAGTCAACCTCTTCACGGGCTCCATAACCCCATAAGTTTGAGAACCCCTGCTCTAGCCAACTCTAAAATTGAATCATGCACATCCCCCCACTCAGAGTATTTCAGTAGGCCATGATAATATTGAAGAGAAAACCTAGTAACAGGTTCAATATGTGAGTGGTGGCTTCTACAGTGTCATGTTCTGTCTGAGTTTTATATATCTCTCCATACTTACTGTTGCTTTGTTATTTCAGGGGTCTACAGGAACGACTTGCATCGTTGAAGTGACATCTTCATTGAAAATTGGTTTGGTTGCTTCTTCACTTCGACCTAATTTGAGGCTCGAGTATGTCGGAGTTGATTTTGATAAATTAGCTGTTGAACTTCACAGCAGTGCTTTCATTCCCGGTCTTCTTTTACCTCGACCTACCAATACAACGAATGTGAATGATTTGTTGGATATCACCAGACGTACAGCAAGGAAACCATCAGTGCCTTTGCGACAGTCAGGTATGGTACTATTAATAAAGGTTTATTCTTGATAAGCCACATCCACTATACGATCATTTCTAAATATAAACTTAAGGTAATGAAAGTTATATTAATCATTTAATAAATCAATTGAACAAGTTTGTTTAGAGTAAGAACACTATAATATGACAATTGAAAATAATAGTAAATCATAGTGACATCAACAATACCGCAATTGCATTTTACATTATTCTTCTGCCTAGTCCATGCTGGGAAAATTGTAATTGAAAAGTTTTGTACTGGTTCACTTCAAATCAGTTGTAAGTATTCTTAGATAACCATATGTTTTCACTTTTGTGTTATTTTTGATGTGTTTCTCTTTTCCGTCCCAAACAATGTTCTAGACCAGTGGTTCACCAGGGGTCCGCAGAGAGATTTAAGGGAGTCCATGAGCCCCGCATGCATGAAAAAACAACACAGAACCAATATGGTATATTATGTTAACCTGGCTATAGACATAATCTTGCTCATATGAGCGAAAATATTTATTCACCTGAAAGGAATATTCGGGAGGCCTTTTGAAGTAACTTTCAGGCAAATTGACAAAAGGTTCCATAGCTCTGAAAAGGTTGCAACTTGCAACTACTGGTCTATTGACAACTAGCTGATACGCAGGGTGCTACTATGTTTTGTAAGGAGCGGAATCTCTTAGGTTCCGCATAATAGGCTCCCCATTTATAAGACGCTGTTCGAGGGAGTGAGCGTTGGGTTTCAACCTGAATTCAGAAATACCTAATTTAAAGTCTCACACAATCTTTTTATTGTTTTCAGGACCTATACGTACTGCATTGATGCTACCAATGCTTACTCAATGTCGCTTGAGTAATTTAGATATATTATTATTTGGAGATTCTCCGCCATTAGCTGGTATAATGTCAGACTCTCATTCTACTGCTGAGAGAGTTCTTCATTTTTCTGTATCTGCTGCTACATTCAGTCAACGTAAAGATCCTGATCGAATGGTCACTGTGTCCACTGCTGGATTTGCTAATTCACAAGTTAATGATGAAGTTATTGAATTGCCAACAGGTCATTCAATTTTTTATTTTTCCTGTAATGGTGACAGTTTCAATTATTAAGGTTTGAAGAAAATCGCGAAACAAAAACTGGATTCAGATTTACCATATTTCGGAGACTAGCAGAGGAATAATCATGTTTTGAAACTCCAGCAAAATAGGAGTGATGAGTCTGAAGGAGTTGTTGGATTGTATCTATATTCTTATATTTGAGTTATTCTTAAATTGTTTCATTCTGCTGCAGAAGCATTGAAAAATACATTTTGTATAAATCAACTGATACTATTAGTTTGGAATGAAACAATTGGTTAGATTGAAATTTTGGGCTTTCATTCCAAGGCTAAAGTAAAATAAGATTCTGTATTTGCAAATTTCTTTGGATTAGATATTATGTTATGTGTATAACAATTAATACATGTTTACGAAATATTTCCTCATAACCACAGGTGGTATATTAAAAACACAAATCATAAAAACATAACATTTGTTGTATTGTAGACTGTAGTACATGGCAACCATTATTAATCATACTTTGTATACATTACTACCTATGTATTTAACTATGTCATAATATTGATGTATTATGATTCATTTTTTGGTACTCCCGTAGTATGCGAACCAGGTTAGGGTTAGACCATAATTTTATTCGGATTTTCCCTATTTTAGTTATATTACGAATTCGGGGACTGCCCATAGGCTTCTGTCCCTTTACACAACTAAATGTAAAGTAGGCGAACAAAATTAGTTACCTCCATATTGGTACACATACTTCTGGAGTGCCCATTTTATTGTAGAAATACTCAATCATAATCAAATCATAGAATTCTATAATTCTTGGAAATAGTTGAAACTTGACTGGTGTTTATATATTATCATTTGTAGGTTACATCAGAGCAAAAATAGAAGATTTCAATGTTACAAATCTAAGCAAAATGAAGATGATTACAATGAGTAGAATATCTGCTGAAATAAAAATGACGTCAAACTGTGTATTGTCATCTTCACTCGATTTTACACTGTGTTATATACATTATATTCATAAGGTAAAGCCACACTAAGTTAATGTGTATAAGTTGTTTATATTTGGAAAAGATGATCCTGTAATTCCTTTTATATTACTTTATGTTGGAAATGCTTATAGTCACAATACTTAATTTATTTTTCATAAGTTAAAATAGTTCTAGTGTATTTGCGTTTTAATGTATTTTTTAAAATTATATATGTTTTTCCAGGAACTTGCGTACTGGACAGAATTATTCAAACATAAAGTATCAAATATAAAACGGGATCGACCGCATGTTACATTTGCGGACTCATTACCACCATGTAGAGAAAGTTTTGGAAGACCGCCACCAGCAAGAAAAATTCAAGCCAGTACAATCAACAGTTCAAAGGGAGAAGGATCAAGTACAAAAGAAATACCACCACAGAGATCATTTGTGCCAAGTCATAAACGTACTAGAAGTGCTCCGAATAATTTTTATCATGCTGATGAATACTATTATGCTTCAACCGGTGAGTGCGTCATTTTTAAATATTGTTGTTTATGTAATGAAATAGAGGAAAATTTGTTTTTTCCTCTATTTAGCTTTACAGCATGTGTTAAGATTAATGTCTATTACACAAATTGAATGTTATCATATAAGCTTTAAAACTATTTCTTTATTAACTCAGCTGGGTACCAAGGGATTTGCAACACACTAGATCAATTTTAAAATAATATTTTCAATTATTTAATATATTCTAGATGGGGTTATGCCCAGGAGATGATTGATTAAAAAGTATAAATATTTGCAAAATTTATTCTTATTGGTACAGAAAATTGCTCCAATTGTTTTCTCAATTCCTAAATTTGTTGAATAATATTTCGTCAAATTAAAATATGTAATAATTATAGAATCATTAATTTACTATGTTCGTTCCATATCAAAATTTCACCTATGAAATAGCCTCTAGCAATTTTGATTATAAAATATTACGATACTATTACTATCTAACAGTAATTACCTGCGCTAATATCTCTGTGTTGTACATAAAACACTGCAGGCATGCCTTGCATCTAACATGGCTGTATTAGGGTATATTTCACTCGGTTCAACTAACCTAATTTAATTAAAGTAGAGCAATATTCATTTGACTATACTATTTTGCATGCTCTTTATCTTCAGATTTACTTTGATATTTTGGTAATCTTGTTTTAGCAAATGGGGGTTACAAAAATAATTTTTCCCAAATGAATTTTGTGATGAATCATGTCTGAGTAAGAGTGTTGATTGTAAATAACACGTCATCATTACAGTGAGGCACATCAGATTAATTTTTGAATATTTGAATTTAAAAAGTTTGCGAAAAAATATTGGATTCTAAGGTTATTTCCATTGTTCATGATCAAAATGTAATATGCTGTTTATTAAATTTTCAATTTAAGGAACTACAACTCGCCGTCCAGAGTTAGCTGTACCAAAAGATCTTACTTCCTTGGTACAAGTTCTGAATGCTTTAGGAATAAGCACTGTGTGTGAATTTACTTTTTATGAAGCTGTGATTGATGCTACATTGCCCAAAGTAAGTTTATTGAATGAACAAATAGTATGAGTGGGCAAATAGCATTGGTAATATACCAGTGCCGGCGCTTCAGAAGTGTGTGTACTGTGTACCAATATGGAGGTAACTAATTTTGTTTGCCTACTTTACAAGTTGTGTAAAGTGATTGAGACCTATGGGCAGGGGGTATATTCACTCGGCTAACACAGACAGTCCCCGATCTCATAATAGAACTAAAATAAAGAAAATCGGAATAAAAATAAAACTCTAACCTGGTTCACACACTATGGGACCCATTCAACTACTCAATTGAACTAGGACTACAATAAGCTATTACCAACTCATTGTTAAATATATTGTTATCCTAAATGTTCAGTCCAGTCAGAAACATTCAACTTCGTATTATGAATACACTTGCTATTGAACTGCATTACCCTGGGCTGGTTCGAATTCGCACGAGGGGATGCTGTATTCCCCACTGTTGTAATGGTATTAATAAATCATAACTACTCGCGTACCAGACATGAACTGGTAACAGGATGAGAGGCTGTGGTTTGTCTTAGGATTAAGCCGTCTTATCAATTTTCCTCTCCTTGGGATAATTATAATGATTTTCGTCGTTCATACTGTTTTGTATACTTTCAGGAAAATGAATTAATTCTTCTCTAATTTATATATTATTTTGTTTGCTTACAGCCAATATCTTCCAGTCCTGATAAAACATGTGGATTTTCTTTTGGTTTTGACTGTGTTACCATGAGTGTAGACCACAGTGCTAATTCTCAAGATATTAATTTTATGATGAAACTCGACAGAATATGCTGGAAGGTAGGACTTTTATTAACCTTGTTAGTTTGAACAAAAATTATGTCTATAGTTGTATTTTATAATTTCAAGCAATATCAAAAAATTATATATATTCGTCATGTTGTTGGCATCACTGCAATCTGCAATATAAGGGCAAATAGTCCAAATTACATTTTCATTTGGAACACATTCCTGAGAGCACGTAGAGAACGTTCTCCATTTTCGTAAAAGTGTGAAATTTATGAGTTCTTTTTTTCTTCACCCTGTATGATGAGCGAAGATCAAATATTTTGAAATTTGACATAACGTCATAATTTGGTTGGTCCCGGTCAAATACAGCTTGAGAATTGATCTGTATTAATCTCTATTGTTTTGGAAATTATCTGGCTGTTTTATTTTTAAAATCATGATTTCCTAAGTGCGTTGCTATAGCAATATCAACTCTTATTATAAAATATTTCAAATTCATTCTTAGTTTAAAAAATTGATGGTAATCAACATTTTTGATTATTAGTCTTTTTTGACTTTTTTGCAGCCAAAGAATAATTCTTTCAAAGAGTCCTCAGTATTTCTAGATTCTTCTCAAAATGTAGATACAAGATGGAATTCATTAGAAGCCACACCATATCACAAGTAAGTTTTTATTTAATATGGGATGTCATTTTGACACATTGGATAAGTTCATTTAACAAGAGTAAATATGCTGCATCATTAAATGGGTACTCCTATAGTGTGTTTACCTGGTTAGGGTTAGGCCATAATTTTATTACGATTTTCCTTATTTTAGTTCTATTACAACTTTGGGGACTGTCTGTGTTAGCCAAGTGAATATACACTCTGCCCATAGGTTTCACTCCCTTTACACAATTTGATGTAAAGTAGGCGAACAAAATTAGTTATCTCCATATTGGTACATACACTTCTGGAGTGCGCAAAGTCCAATGATTATGGGAATTCAGTAGCTAGTAATAATTATATCAAAATCATATTATTTTTTTTATAATTTATTTCCTAAAGAACCGATGTTCACGATTGGGGAACAGCATTCAGCCTTGATACATTACGACTCCATGGACAAGCAACATTTGGTCCTGCTATTGGATCGGCAGGAATTAACAATGAAAAAACTTCACAAAATGCTGGATCTTTCTGGCCAAGACAACAGTATGATTTTTATTATTCACACCTTCGCACTTTTGCACCATCATACAGGCTCTGTATGAGCATGCAAGAAACTACTAGCCTTGGCAGTACCATGTGTGGGTTCGCAAGTTATCCCATGCTGGGATAGTTATGTGAGAGGATTGCTGGACTCCTCGCCGCTGTAGGGTGGTTCACGTAACCGCTAGTCTGTTACGGCATCTGCCACCATCAAGTCCATGCTTCTGAAAACAAATACCTGACTAACTAATTTCATACCTGACGTGGACTAGCAACTGGACGAGAAGATTTTTTCTCCCCGGGATAAATATGTAAATCCCATCCTACTATTTTCAATCGGATTAATCTGATTGGAATTTTCTGGTGCTAAATTGCTTACCCCATTTTTTAAATCCTGGGTTTAGTGATGGGTATGGGGCTTGTACACTGGTATATAGCATCCTACAATCTGATGCATTTTCTATGTCAGAAAGGAAATGGGAGGTAGTTGTCACTGTTGATATTGAATTTTGAATAACTTCGATGTTCAGCCATGGTGGTCTTTTCAATTCCCCACTAGCAACGGACTGCACATGCCCTATTAGACTTTGCAATTCTTGTCAAGCTAAAACCATGGATGTAATTCATTTCTATTGATTCACGTTTCGTCAGAATCGCATCTTAGAAATATGACGAGGCTGCACAGACTCTATTATAGAAAGTTCAATAATTTTTCTACACTTCATCACACACTTGCTGTCGTACATCTGATTAGATTATGCAGATTCGCAGGCTCTGATCTTGTTGGGGGATAATTATCTTATGTATGCGGGGATTGCTCATGGTTCACGTAACTGCCAATTGGCACGTCTTTCTCTGTCAAGTCCATGTATCAGAAATGAAAAACTAATTTATTATTCCTATGCCGACTTGTATGCACTGGTAACTAGAGCTCGACCGATATCACTTTTTGGCACCGATACCGATAACGATATATCGGCCAACTAGTGACCGATAACCGATATCGACATACCGATATCTACAACCTGAACTCGCAGTAAATACAAATAGAAGGAAAAATTCAGTTTCAGTCAATCAAAAGTTTATGTTGAAAAATAAAGCAGTCCTACACAGTGCCTGCGTCATTGATAAAAGTTTCACAGCAAATAATAAGAACACACACACAGAAGGCAATGTTTGAAAAAACCCAGCACAAAAGAAAAAAGGCATTCAGTAAAAAGCTTATAGAAGTCCATTTTTATCCATACAGTAAGTAGTAGGTGGGAGTAGGCTTGCACTTAATTTACGGAATTATTTCGAGTTACGGAAGGGAAGTTATAAATTACGTAAAGTCGTAATTATTGGTCGAGCACTTTCGCGTTTGAAACGTGCTCCTTCAAAGCAGTCAATTCCGTCGATTGTAAAAAAAGAAAGTTTAATAAGTAGAAGAAGTTAGAGTTCCGGTATTCGCAGCCGTTTTTCTCTCTCTTGTTACGCAGGTGGGGAAGGCATGACGCGTTGCCACCCCGTTTGAGCGTTTGGTTTCACGGTCAAAACGATATTATTATGAGCGTTATCACCGTAACGCAATTAACACCGACAGACTTTTTTGTCTGCACGATTTGGTATCTTTTTTATTCGGTGCTGATAATGACAAATAAGAATGCGTGATAGTTGATTGTAATTCCGGAAGGCGTGTTTTTCTTTCTCTCGGTGAAACAGACATGAATGAAACGAATTTTACCGCCGCTATGGACGCTCAAAATGAGAGAAGGCTACTTTCTTTTCCCGACAGCGCATTGAAAAACAAAATAGAATTTATTAGCATTAATTTACAACGAGTTACGGGTAAGCATTTACCGCCGGCTAAATAATTAATATTTGATATAAATTTATCGCAAATAATGCTATAACATTTAGGCCGCGAAATGATTTGATATAAAATGAAGCTTGGTAATCGGAATATCGTCAATAATTCAGCATCAATAATTATTATAAAATGCTAACTAGGTAGCAAAGTCGGATAATGTAAAAAACGGAGCAATAACAAGTCTTCGTCGCGAGGCAAGCGCAGGCGTAATCAAACGGGAGAATACGCTTGTCGTTGATTAATAACTTAGAAACCCGAAATTTTCATTCAATACGAAAGTCGATTTAAAAAAAGGCAACTATCGTTTCATAAATATCCGTATACCAGTGTCGGTAATGATAAAATTGATCGCATAAAATTGGGACGGTTAATTCGCGAAGGTGATAAAGGACAATCAAAGCCAACACAAAAGATAAAAATCAGAATAAATTTAATTTGAATTCACTCCTTGGTATTTGTCTTTAACATCTGTCGCCGGCGTATAGTACTGTCGGTAATATGAAAACCAAACTTCGATGTCCCATTCGGAAAAGAAGTGGATTCAAATGGTTTTTATGATAGGTTCAAATGTGTGAAAAAATATCGCAATTACGGGGTCATTACGTAATCAATTTTGCCGTAATTACGGAATTGATTTTTGTCGATTACGAGCAAGCCTAGTGGGGAAGCAAGATATTCGAAGGCGAGGATTTTGCGCCGCACGAAGAGATAGGAGAGAGAGAGAAATAAGAAGAGAACTCTGTTTATTAAAAGGCAAAATGAGAGAAGCGAAAAGAAGGAAACGCTCGGCCGCAGATATTTCCCAGGGAAAAATACTCATTTTTTAGAACGTGAAAAAGCGACTAACGTTGATATATATCGGCCAGATATATCGGCCGGTTGGGCCGATATGATATATCGGCAAACACGCAATATCGGCCCGATATATCGGTTGGCCGATATATCGGTCGAGCTCTACTGGTAACCAGACAGAATGCCATAGTTCAGGGATGGCGAACCACTGAACCGCGGGTCACAAAGTGACCCACCGCGTTTTATCCGTGAACCACCAAGGTACGAATAAAATTTAAAAAATGCTAACATATCAGTGATAAAAATTTATAAAACCGTCCTTAAATTAATTTAACAATAACTAAACTATTATAAATTATGTACCGTCAGTTGGGCAGTGGGACTGCGATCACTCATATTCAAATGTGGATTCAAATGAACGCATGTTTCAATGTCTGCACCGCTGTGTATTGTTATTCATTTATTGGCTCTGACATTGTTTATGAAATAACAATGCAATTAATCTGTTCATTTCTCGCGACGTCTTGTCTCTTTCGGAAGTGCATCTGCCATCTGTATACTGTTTTAGGGGTTATACGAGAACTAGATTCTACTTTGCATTTTATTAGTTTCTCGCCTACAATGCCATTGAGAAAACAAAATATTTCAGACCTTAAATAAAACCCTAGAAATCTAAAATAACATTGGGGGAGTGTAAAAGTGTCTTAATGTGGCTGAAAGCTGATCAAAAAAAATATATAACACTATTAGAGTGGAATTCCCTCCAAACACTGGAACCTTAAAATAGTTTGCCGCATCATCATAAACGTTTTTGGTAATTCATATGCGTGTTTTCGTACTCTAATTTCATAAAATCGAGTGCCACATAAAATCCCTGTTAGAAGCGTTGCATAAGTAAAGCCCAAAACTACACCAACGCCAACAGAAGCCTAGAAGATTTGTTCCAGAAGTTTCATAATTGTAGATACAAACATTGATTAAGTAACTGTGACCCCCCACTCTCTTCTGTTACGCGATAAAAATATAATTTTTGACCCATTCATTGAAAAAGGTTCGCCATCCCTGCCATAGTTCTTCATGTATGTCATCTTACCAGCTTTCCTTCTTCAGCAGGATAAATATGAAATTCCTGTTGTATCACTAGGACTGGGTATTTGAATTTTTAAAGATATAGAAAATTGTGAACATTATTATTCAATTATATAATTATTTTATGTCAAATTGGGTATGTTTTTGTGTCTGGTATTTAGGGTTGCTATGAATTTTTTTTTTTTTTATAATGTAAAAATAACAGATTCAATTTGCTTAACATAGCTTTCATTTTCAGTGTTGCAATATCTGTTGATGCAAAAGCTGCCGGAACTCAGATTGAATTATCTCAAACTGCAGCACAGTGCATTGCTTGTATATTATCTTGTGTTAATAACTCATCTAATGATGAAACAAAATTTAATAAAACATCTATGCTGAGACAAACTTCATTGGCAACTTCAAGTGTGAGATCTGATCCACACAAATTAACGAAACTTGAAAAATATTCATTTTCATTGGCATTTGCTGAAGTGGAAGTGTCACACGTAAGTTGTTTATTGAAATTTCTAAATTTTCTGTTACACTGTTTTATTAAACCATGTTCACTGAAAAGTCTTGTTATTTATGCCGTAAAACAGTGGTTCCCAACGTTTTCTGATACATTTTGTATATTTTGAAATTCTCCATTCCCCCTTACGATGTATAGAAACTAAATTTATATGTTGTCCACTTGCTAATTTGATATAAGAATCAGCAAGTAATATGCGCTCTGTCTTTTGTACAGTTTAAATAGTTTATAATGTTGCACAAATAGATATTGAACAAGTCAAAAATACACAAATATAAAGTAAACTTTCCACCCCAAAAACGATAAAATTTCTTTCATTTGGTTAAGAAATGCTGACTTATTGGCAAAATTGTCTTGTACCAGTACTTTATAAGAAGTTCGAAAAGAAGCTTATTTTTAATTCTGCCATATATTCCTACAAATAGCATTTATAATACAAAAAAGGGGCCATATTCACAACATGACGTAAGTACCAGTTGGCATGGCACAACCATTTTTGCATGTGTTATTCCTAACCCCCACCTGACTACGTCCTTCAAAAAATATGTCACTACGACGTCACAGTAAGGCCCTCCAAACTAACTAACTATCATCCAAGACGCGCGCGACGATCACCCAAAATCAAGCAAGCTAATTCTCTCTTTTTTTCGTCGTAACGACCCCGATATGAGAGAGATCGCTGGCATTAGTGAGTTTGTTATTGTTGGCGAAGATGCCATTGAAGATGGCGATTGTAAATATACTTTGGCAAGCTTTTTGACGTGATTGCGAGGCCGTAGTGACGAAATCTTTGGATGACAGAGCCAGGTGGGGATTAGGGATAACTTATGCAAAAATGGTTGTGCCACGCCAAATAGAAGTATTCACGTCGTTAAGTGAACATGCGCTCAAAAAAGCTATGCATACAAGTAGAGTGGGTTGTTGAATTCCCACTCGATTGTAGCAAACTTCCTAACCAACAACAATTCATGTCAATTGTAATGTTGAATCGTGATCTTCAATATTATGAAATAGCATATTTTTGATTGATTTCATTCAAAATATTCATTTTATTCAGATTAATATGTTTATACTTCCATCTGATACAACTGGATGCGTCGACTGTTTAATCATGAGAATTGATAGTTTGAGAACAGAAGTAAATCTAAAGGATCGAAGATTAAACATTGAAGGTGTTGGGGTATCAACTGTACCCAATCCATACTTTTCTGCTTTCGCATCTTATGAATCTGGTTATAGCGATCAAAAAGGTAACTATTACCACATATCCAGTCATTTTACCATGATTTGAACTGAAATTCAAATATAGCAACTTGTTATTAAGCTATTCTATTACTAGGTTTTCATCAAATTTAACAAAATACACTAGAATTATTCAGATTCAGATTCAGATATTTTATTCCCGTCGTGCATGAAGTATTGTAGCGACACAAGTAATAATTACGTCATGACGTCATGGCCTAGTGTTTAGAAAGCGTTAGACTAACTGTCATTGCAGATTGCACATCTCAGGTTTGAGCCCCACCCCCCATTACTGATATGTAAAGAGTTAACTATTGTGGGGGAAACTGCAATCTTTCTGGTACACTATTGCCTGCCAAAATCACTTACACCTTGGAAGAGGTGGTGGGTACTAGATTTGAATGCGAGAACTTCAATCTAAGACACCACCACGGTTAGGATCATTTCTGTAACTTAGCCCATTGCATGGCATACCCATTTATTTCAAATGTCTTGTTGTATTCTATAATCACTTTCTTAAAATCTCTAACCTGGATTAATTTAACAATTCTGTATTTTTATTTTACAATTTTTGAATCCGAAATAAATTAATTTTATTATTAATCCTACAAATATTTTTGCTAATTATATAATTTTCTAAAATATTTAGGATCAAAATTAAGACCTGTACCATTGAGTGTTCGACAACAGCAGACAAAAGTATCACAATATCAATGTATTTCTGTGAATGACATGCAACCTTTGCATGCTGCTTTCAATGCTATTGATCTTGAATATAAAGTTATCGAACGTGAAGAACCTGAAGATGAACAACCTTCTTGTGAGTATATTCAAATATTTGAAAAGTTTCTGCAGTTCAGTTCTTACACATGTATTTTAAATGAATGCCTGAGTGGTGTATGGCAAAGGCTCTCATAGTGCTCCATACGGGCTCCGTGAGAAAAAACCTGGGGGCTCCGCGTGCTATTCGTTTACTTATTAAAATACCGACTTAGCTACGGTAATTTTGTAACTGCCAAAAAAAGCAAAAAATAGCATCAATACAATATTTTTTAAACACAAGCAGCAAATAACTTGGACTTATTGAATAAATTCATACAGGAACATTAATCAATAAGTAACAATGTGTTTTTGTTTTCATTTCCATAAGTTTATTGATGGGCTTTGTAAATAATAGTCAACTTCTTGAAGGGCTCTTTATCACCCAGAGTTTGAGAACCTCTGGTTTATGGGATCTACTTTTTATCATAACATGGCATGTACTTTGTAGATATAAACTCTCCGGTTTTTATGATTGTCCTTGCACGTTTATTATGCTTGCTGGATGGTTTTTGCAAAAAGAGTGTAAATTTCAATTAATTTTGTGAGATGGTTAACAGTTTTGCATTGTTACCCTGTCAAGCAATCACATAAAGGTAGGCATCTATGGTCCTTGTTATGACCTTTTATGATCCAGTACCCCCAGGCGCCCCAGCCTATGATCCTTAAATAGTTAAGCAAGTGTGCTAATCAGATACCCATAAAATTTTACTGTTAAAAACCGATTATGATGATGCTTGAAAAAAATCATAAATTCCAGGTAGCAGAAGTTAATATAGATTTCAGAATCGATATTTGTATTTACGTAGCTATTACCCTATTAAATATTTTTTCAATTTTCATTTTTCTTCTTTTTTAGCCATACAATCTCTTTCCATTTCTCTCAACCATGATCGTGATGTCACAATATCATGGAGTCCAAAACTTCATATGTTGATCCACCATGAATTGGTTGAAATGTTTCACATCCTGAAACAATCTGTTGTCTCTTCACCAAGAAGAGTAAAAATTAATCCGGGTGATGGATTACCGAAAACTGGTAATATGTCACCCCAGCATAAAAAACAAGGTATTGGGCAGAGCAAATTTTTTTCTGATTATTTAACAGATTATTTTACAGTAAAAAATGCAGAACGCATTGCGCCTCACCAATTGTACACTAAGACATTGGTTTCACTAAGGCATTGGTTCCTAATTCTGCTCACTAAAAGTTCGAATGTGCCACAAAATATAAATAAAATCAGTATTATAAATGTCAATTATCGGCGTTGATTGACTATGTCAGAAATTTAGTCCTATGTGCTTGCTTAATCGCACAAAACAATCTCACATATCACATTGCTTGAAGGTGCATATATTGAAGATATTTTCCTGCGGTAATAATATAATGCTGATAAATTGAAATATTCTTTCCAATGCGCTGTGATTTGCATTACCAAAAGTAAATGCGTCATGTGACAAGTTTCAAAATTTGTGCACGGCGGTCTTAGGTATATATGGTATTCAAACCTGTATATTTTTTTCTTTTTCTTTTTTATTTCAATTGATATGAACATAAATTTTAAAATCAGTCTGACATTTAAAAAAAAATGTTTCTGTAATATCAGGTCAATTCTCTGTTCGATATGTCATATACAAAGTTTTTTCATTGCAAATAGACGTTTAGTCAATTTCGGTTATGGGAGTAGCTTAGTTGTAAATTGTTCCAAAAATCAGTAACCAACTAGCTTCATTGAAATAGGGTTGCTCCAGAAGTATGTGTACTGTTCACCTACTTTACATCAAGTAGTGTAAAGGGACAGAAGTATATTCACTGGGCTAACACAGACAGTCCCCGAACACGTAATAGAACTAAAAATAGGAAAATTGGCATAATATAATGGTCTACCACTAACCTGGTTCACACACTACAGGAGTACCAAAATAACTCCTCTGACACTTGTCAACTAATTTGGAAGCGATGGCTTAGTGATTAATGCGTTAGTCTTAACTATGATAGCATCGAAGGTTAAATTCTGAGTTCAAATCCCATGCCCACGCCTCAAGAGTTTATGAAATTGGGTAGGCAATATAGATTTTTTTTTTCAAAATAATATAGCTCCTTATAATCAGTAGCACCTTGTGTATAGCCATGTCAGATTGAAAGGTTTGTAAATGCGTTATATATAAAAAAATTTGGCAATCTACAAACATTTTCGCGTATTTCCACATTTTTTCCAATTGAGATGATCAGTTAAAGTGTATAATATAAACATCGAGACTTGTGTTAAAAAAATCATTTTTTAATATTGTACCATTATCAACAGTTTTCAACTTATCATCAGTAGTAACTAATAATACATTTTCATTTCAAGCAAGAAACAGCTATTGTGCACCATCTGATCTTGAATCTTCCAAATCTAAAATGTCTTCTGCTGGAGATGGTCCTTCTGTATCAAATATTCCTGTAAAGAATTCTTCAAAACAAATAACGATAACTTCAAATTCAAGAATATGTCTCAATTTGGCATTGAAAGATGATATGAATGTAGAGTTTATATTCAATCCTATAAGGTATGTAAACTGTTTCATATATTTTCTCTGCGTATTTCTTGCTCCTATTCTGTTTATTGTATTGTGGGCACGTTTTTGGTATGATCAATTAATAATTTTATGAATTAATCAAACAATTACAATAACTTTCTCTCAAAATTTCTCTTGGACCGAAAAAAAAACTCATGTTTCACCATAAAAGGGTGATTTACGTATACTACCAAAAATTAATTCTTCATCTTGATCAGCATTTTCATTTATTATTATCATCTTATTCTAGACTCGATCCGTTTCTTTTAACAGATACACTGAACTACATAATGTTTCTAAGATATTGTTTAGCAAAGCACAAGTATTGATGGACGGACATACTATATTTAGTTTCATGAATGTTAGAATCGAATTGTCTGCCAGAAATGAGAAGATTCAACGAGACAGGTAGTTAGCTTATCATATTTTATAATATTTGATGTTTATTTTAAAATGAATATTATTTTTAATATTGAAGGTAGATATTTTCTTCTCCGAAAATGTCCTTAAATCATTTTCATATAAACATTAAGTAAACAATGTGGAAAGGCCCTCACATTGTGGTTAGCCATACTACCCATACATACCATACATGTTGGAGGGAAAGGTGCTAGAACTTCAAAATTTTCTGGTACTCTAACTAGATATGATACCTGGACGATCCATAAATTGACTGGACTCTGGACTTGGGGTTATGGAACTTGTACATAACATTAAATACAACAAAGCTTTTACAACAATACCAAATGGGAAAATAATGTATTGGAAAACAAACATAAGCTTTTGATGATATGTTTTGGATCGAAGTATATAGACCCTTTGTTTATGTTCTGAATTTAATCTATGAATGTGTGCAGTTACATTGATCTGAATAATATAGTTATTTGATAAGAAAATCCTCCAGAAATCAACTGCTATTGTTGGGTATAGTGAGTGGGTGGTATCCATGCTATAAAAGACTTATCTCTACTTTTCTGAACACAAAGTGGACTTACAGGTCATCTTTCTAAATTGAAGTTTTGTATAATTCTGCTGTTGTGAGAAAAATGATTTTTTTGCATTTAATGCGCTAATCATTTTCAAATTTTCAGCACAACCTTAGATGGGTGGAATCGCTCGAAGGCTATTACTTATTTTTACAGGCTTTGTATTTTACACGAAATTTTGCTGTTTTTATAATTTGTAATGCTTCTAGCACATTTGCTAGAATCTTCCTGACATTTGATCTTTATGCCCGTATAGTCGACCATTGCTCTCTGATTTATTATTATGTGTCTCTTCCTATCTTTAATTATCTTTACGTTTACTGTTCAGAGCAACTTTCAATGATTTGACAACAGAATGTAATCGTGCATGGGCATTCAACCTGTCACATTGGTCTTGTCATTTCCCCCATGGGTATGATTTTGCTGCAACTTTTGATCAGTTTGTTACAACATTCAAATGGGTCAAAGGATTATATAGGAAAACATCACATCCGTTCAGGTATTACGTCATGTTATGAGTTATTTACATTGATAGAGTCAAAATGGAAATAAACATCACAGAGACCTTAAAATTACTATTAATATGAATGACGCCTCAAAAAATTATCTCAATATACATCCTATTTTGTTGTAAGGAAAGGCTTATTTAGAGTTCAGAATTCTTTATCTTCAAATGTGTTTTGCAAAAACAAATAATAATAATAGATTATGAGTTGCCCTGTGTGTCTCATGTATTTCAAGTTTTGGAATTTTCACTTTGGTTCCGTCAAGTGAATTCAGTAAATACCCTCATTTCCATAGGATTCGCATGGGCTACTGGTAATGCTGCTAATTATTGGACCTTAGTGGTTTATATTTAAGCATTGTTCTCTTGCTTTACATGATATTTTATTCAATTTTTGGTTTCAGGAGTCCAAAACTACCACCTGATTTATTGATTGTGATTGATAAGTTCATTTTTGATATTGCTGATTGGGATTTTGAATGTCGTCTTCGAGATAATCATGAATTGATGAAAGATGAATGGAGAGAAAGTGAAAAAAGAAGAAAAATTCTGGATCAAAGAGTCACTGATCTTAGGCGGGAAAGAGGAGAGTTTTTGCCTGCTAAAAAGGTAATTAATTATACATTTCCTTATTACTTCAGTCACATGAAATATTATTATTCAGTAGTTACTTCTATAAGCCAAATCAATTTATAGATTTTAGAATCATACTCACTGTTAGGTAAGGTTGTGTGACATTTTTTTCTGTTTTCATCAACAAATCATAAAGCATAAAATGAACTTTTAAATATATGTTAATGAACTCTTTCTTGGGTGAAATCTTTCAGTTTAATGTAATGTGTAAGGAAATGTTGTAGAATTTATAAATAAATTGAAGAAGTTCTTCATTATACCTTTTTTTTGTGTGAAAACATATTCATATGAATGGTTCATATGGAATGTCCAAACAGTTTTGTATTCCTAAATTATGTTTTCTGGCTTGTTTCTATTGGGAAACGAGAAAATTGTGTAAAAAGAATCGTGTTAAATGATGACTCCAAAAATTGTAATTTTAGATGATTTGAGCAGAAAATTGTATTTCAAAATAATCTTTTTGAATAATCTTTTTGATAAATGAATATTTCATATTTTTTCTCTTACAATTCAAAATAAATCTTTATTTTACAAATAATGTGACTATTAATCAAAAATAGAATTCAAAATCCAGGATAATCTTGGTTAAAATTGGGCTCCACGAATTTCAATATCTATGTGATAAGTCTCAAAATTTATCGATATTGAATAAAAAATAAAATGCAGATTGAAGAATTATATATCAAGTTGGAAGAGGAAAATACAAGAATCTATGTTGATCGATGCAAGAAGTTGCATACATCTAAAGAACCAACGATTATAGATTCACCATCCTGGAAGACACATTCTAGATCTTGTTCAGTTCCTCTTCAGTTTCCCTCTTCTCCTGTAAATCATTCTTATGAACCTAATCTTTCCCCGGTTTTCGAAGAAGAATTTTCAGTTGCCACACCGTCTCAAATCAGGTCCAGTTCTTTTTCTTTCGGAGTTACATCTGAAAAGAACGTCGATTCAAGTTCAAGGCTCTATCCTCCTCTATTCACTTGGTCCATCTCATCATTAACATTTTCAGGTGTGCGACGAATGAAGTTTTTTGTTGTTGGCATCGCATGGATGTTTTGATCATTTTGCATTCTTTTTTTTTTGCATGTGCACAAGTTTTTTTTACTTGACAGCATTTTTGTTTTAGTTGGTCATGGACTTTGCATCACTGTTATTTTTTTATGTTATTGTTTGGCTTATTTTGTTTACTCATTGTCTTCTGTCTCTTTAGTGTGTCACCAGCGGATATCAACAGTTTTAAACATTATACAGATGTGTGATAAATTTTCACTTAATGAATGTTAGCCCCATTTGTAAATCACCTTTTAGTGTTAGGACTGACAAAATTTTGAAATGAACAAAAAATTGAAATGAATAGTTTTCTGAACAAGAAAGTGCTGATGATTTCTAAACTGCTGATGAAGAGAACAAATCAAAATTATTGCACTTTCAAAATGATATTTCCATGAATAGACTTTTCTCATGATTAACCTGAAAACATAACTCTGCTTGTGATATGGACAGAATGTTTCAAATGCACTAAATATAGTCTACTTATCTTGGTTGGGCATTAGTGTGAAGCCTCGTAAACGAGAAAAATAGATTGTTTAACCAAAGAAAAACTGGACTTTAATGGTTGTTTGTTATTGTAACCTGCTTGCAACATTATCAGCAAGTTTGTGATACTAAATTAGATATTGTACTTGTGCCTTAAAATTCAGAAATCAGATTTCTCATTTAGGCAATATACAATTGCAATATATATATTGCAAATCATCTCACTTCCCCCATCTCACCTATGGCGTAAAAAATTGAGTAGACAATGCCGAACCAAAAATTTAGGCAATATACCCCTGGCATTGCAAATCATCTCACTTCCCCCAGCTCACCTATGGCGTAAAAAATTGAGTAGACAATGCCGAACCAAAAATTTAGGCAATATACCCCTGGCATTGCAAATCATCTCACTTCCCCCAGCTCACCTATGGCGTAAAAAATTGAGTAGACAATGCCGAACCGAAAATTTAGGCAATATACCCCTGGCATTGCAAATCATCTCACTTCCCCCAGCTCACCTATGGCGTAAAAAATTGAGTAGACAATGCCGAACCAAAAATTTAGGCAATATACCCCTGGCATTGCAAATCATCTCACTTCCCCCAGCTCACCTATGGCGTAAAAAATTGAGTAGACAATGCCGAACCGAAAATTTAGGCAATATACCCCTGGCATTGCAAATCATCTCACTTCCCCCAGCTCACCTATGGCGTAAAAAATTGAGTAGACAATGCCGAACCAAAAATTTAGGCAATATACCCCTGGCATTGCAAATCATCTCACTTCCCCCTGCTCACCTATGGCGTAATAAATTGAGTAGACAATGCCGAACCGAAAAGATTCTGGTCATTCTAAATAATAGAAGCTCCTTTCTTATTGTTAAATATCAGGTATCACATGTAAAGTGTGTGTCGTATAAAAAAGGGTAAAAATATTAATGATCAAATTTCCCATATCTGCTGAATTGACAGGTGAATAAAAACTTACATCTTTGCCTGATTTTATAACTACAGCTTGAAGAACTCTATCGACAATTGGAAGATAAAAACGTTAACATCTACCTGACAAGATCACATAAAATGTATTCACAACCACTCAAACCAAGCCTATTTAGATGGACTGTAGATAATTTTGAAGTATCAGGTTGGACAATATAAATTATTAAAATATGTGCTGTTATACGAAGCAAGAAATTATAGAAGCGATATATATATTTCTTGTTCATGATAAATCAGGTTATATTTGTTTTATAAATGCTCGGTACTGACATAGTCACGTTTGCAAGTCGTTTATTATTTTTACATTCACAACTTTATTTTGCATGCTTATTGTTTTGCATATTCTGCATGACGCTCGACAGTGTTATTTTTATATTATTATGCATTTTTGCTAAAATTAAGTTATGTGGTACTTTGACTCAAAAATATTTTAAATTTGGCTTCCTTGTTCATACTGATATATAGTCCACTGGTGATTTATATATATATGCGGTAGAATTTCCAACTTATACACAATCTGAGTGAATTTGTATTTAAAATATCAAACTCATTTAAAACTTTGTTATCATAATAGTACAAAGCTTTATAAGAAAACCCATATGAAAGATACCTACCGGTATTTGAAATTAACAGTCAATTTTTTAAAATAATCAACATTGGAATATTGGAAAATTCATTTTGAATTTAGTTCTCGCTGACCAGTCAATGCATGGGATGGATAATGCAGTTGAAACGATTAAAAATATTGACAAAGTGTCTCCTTTTCCACAAATGAAAACTGAAGATTCAGGTATTTTATCTATTCTTTTTTAGTATACTTATTATTTCATTCTTTTGGAATTAACTGTGATTATGTTAACTGTTTCGCAATTAATGCGAGACTGGAAAGATTCTGGGTTCTTCCAAAATAGTAAAAAGTGGACCCATGGATCCTTTTGTTAAATCGTTGTTATTGTTAGTATCTTTGGTATTCTTATCTTTGTTGTAAAAAATTGCTATTCTCTTTTATTCACTGGACCAAATGGTTTGAAATTTTCAGTGGTTAAAGGTTGTTGTTGCTAGAAAACCATTTATTTATTTCAAAAATTGCTGTGGGATTTGTTTTTCACTTTAAATTTGTGTGATGGTGCCATAAAAATAAAAATTGTGCGATGTGTGGCGGTTCCGCGATTATGTATTGTTCAGCGATCTTATGGTCAGATTTGCAGTACCATAAAAGACTTGTTACTACTTTGTTTTGTCCACCGTGTCTACGTATTTGAGCATTGCTTCCTTGTTATCATTTTCTGCGGACTTGTTTAAGGTAAAAGTATGAAAATGCCTTGTAAAGATTAGTTTTTCTTTAGATTTTTCTTATAGTTGTGCAATTGATCTAATTATTGACCAAGATCGACAACTAAACAAGTTTGAATGATACCCTTTTCATATGGTTGTCACGACTTTCATTTTTACTGGGATATTTACGTTTATTCGAAGATGGGTATGATTTTGTAACTCTGTGGTGTCGAAGTATTCGTCTTCATGCTGGCAGACATCAATGCAGAATAAGAAATTATCCTCAATATTTGATGGATGTTGGTGAATGGAAAATATGGGGAAAGTTTTGTGGAGCTGAACAAAAGGGATCTCCAACAGCTCAGAGAACGGGTACTAAACATATTTTCGTGTAGATACGCTGAGAAAAGAAAGTACACAGAAATTTATATTTGACTCAGACTCCAGTTTTAGAAGAAAAGTTAGATTTTATCATCTCCATAGAGCAGTGGTTCTTGAACGGAGGGGCGCGCCCTTTGAGGAGGCGGTAGACAATTTTTTGAGGGAGCGTGATGCTAATTGAAAATAGAAATATTTTTTGAATTTGATCTTGCCCGCCTTATTTCAAAACTTTTCATTTATTCCATTATTTACTTTCCATCCACATATTTTCAACTTGTTTTTTTGAATAAAACATAATTTCACCTTACTATCTGTTATTTTTAGCATATTGTTAGCTAGTTATTTTTGAGGTAGGTGCAAGACTTGACAATTTCTAAAAAGAGGGCGCAGCTCAAAAAGTTTGTGAGCCACTGACATAGAGGATCTGAAATACTGACTTCCGATATTATGGGGAATTTCATCTACTACTCCCACAAATCCAGTGAAAACATGGCAAATTATGACTCTACAGCCCAGTGTAAAACTAGAGAAATGGGGCAATGTTTACATTCATGATTAAAAATCTGTCGGTGTACAACTGCTAAAGTTTAATTCCCAATATCACCATTTATTTGGTTTTGCTCAGTTGTTGTTCCAGAAATAAATAGGAAATTGAGGCTTTGGGAAACGTGTGTCTTTAGACTGATTACAATTTCATTTATTTTGTTTTCTAATTGCTACTCTATTTCATTGTAACTTGTAATATCTATTTGATTTTGTGCAGAGTATGTTCCACTTCCTCAACCATGGGGACCAGGGAAGGTGAATCGAAACATGCCTGCATTAAAATTTTATTATGATTGGAGTAGTGACGTTCAATCATTCAGTATGGCATGGGGACCATGTTGGGACCCTGCATGGTCACAGGTAATTATTTTATTTTTAGCACTTAGATGCTTTTTTGTATCCTTTTGTATCCTTCTTTGAATAATTTTTTTATTGGTTATCCAAAATTCATTAATGCTTCTGATTACAATAAGGAGTGTCCATGCCCAAAGGGTTATAAATATTGGATTCTAATGATTTTTGATTCATTCTACATCACATTTATTAATTGCTTGAGGAAAGGAAAGACATATATATATATATATCCAAATTTTTTTTTTGTAAGACTAGACGTAAATTGTGCTTTCGGTGTAATTGAAGAAACATTACATTAAAAAGAAAAGACAGGATAGGATTTTTATACTTCTTTAAAGAGTTGAGAAAGCCGATAATACGGCTTCCATGTATATGAGGAATCACGTTCTTCATGTCCAGCTATTCCAGTACAGGTGGATATGGGAATAGTTGTTCCATATGCGTGGACTTTTTGAGTGCGACTTGTCACAGTTACATGACCTTCCCTGTAACGATGAAGAGTCCATCGACCAATTTACAGTTTTAATGTCTACATATTTTCTCTATTTCAGGTGAATCTTGCGATAAACCTTCTCAATCATCCATCAGTTGATCCAAGTAATCCATTATCTTGGTGGGACAAATCAAGGATTATATTTCATGGCAGGTTGATGATGTCTATGGACAGGTGAATTTGAAGTTTGATATTAATTGAAATTTAAATAGGATGACTTATCAGTCCAAGTCATTTTTGCGATCAAATAGTAACATCAAATAGTACTATGTTCCCCAAGGGCTCAACCATGAATTTTTTCATTCTTGGCGAAGAATTCTGCTTAGTATTTGCTGTAGTGAAATATTCCATATTATTATCACTATAAGGATTATTTACGCGCACATAAACTACTTAAACTGTTTCAAAGTGTGAGTGTGACTTGTGTATAATACTGGCTAAGGATTCATCAACGATTGAACAAATAAAGTATGCATATTGAAATATTGAAGGAAAAAAAAGTTGACTGATTGGGGAGAACGTTTTTTTAATACATCCCTTATTCACGCCTTTGGTTCCAAACAATGCCCTAAAAATCAAGCAACTGAATCTAATGAGCCAATATCATTTGAAAGTATCACAATCTTTCTGGTTCCTCATTGCCTTTGCGATTCATTGCACCCTGCGTTAAGTGGGTGCATGAGATTTGAACACTTGATGTGTAATCTATGTTGGCAACGCAACCTTGTTGCACCGAACATTGAATTATGACAAGGAATCAATGCGATACTTAAAGTTTATTGTTTCAATTATAGTTCAATAATGCTAGCTGTATTTCTCTCTTGTGCTCTTATTAATACAAGGTACTCCCGAAGTATGTTATTGCAAATCAAATACTTCTTAGGTCATACTTAAGATGATAAATGAGACTATTCTAAATTATTTTCAAAATTGAAGAGATTGAAAAATAGAATGCAATTAATTAAATTCAATCGGATTGTACATTCCTGCTCATCACTTTCCTCTCTTGAAAGTAAATTTGAAAATTCTATTCTAATTTTTGTTTCAATGCTTTAGGTCGAGTTTACTTCAGCTTGCATCTCTTGATCCATATAATACAACTGAACATATGCATTGGGATTGGAAATCAGTGTTGATGGATTGGACAAATGGAAACTTCTTGTTCAAGGTAATTCACTAGGTTTTCAGAGTTAAGTTTTCAGTTAGACGGCATTTAAGCATCCTCAGTCTCCCATATGTATCAAATAATTGGTTTTGAAAATTTATGAACCATCCATTTATATATATATATATGTTCTTGATCTAGTTTATGATCTAGTTTATGATTTTTACAGTGTTGTATTATTTGATTATAGACATTCTTCATTATCATTTGACATAGTAAGCAGGCATTCCAGCATTTATTCATGCAGTTAGCAGTATTAGGCATATGCTATTTTGATTTCAAAATTGACAAAATTATGATGTATTTTAAATTTTACTTTATAAAAATGTATCACACTAACTTAGGACTGGTGAGAATTTCTGTGGAAAACAATAATTTTTGAGGCTGTGGAATGGGGGGGAATTCATATAATAATCCGAAATCTAACCATTTGTAAAATTATCCAAGCTTGACAAATTTCAACTATTTTGACTTATATTCAGGGAAATTTTGACACTTAATGCAAGAAAACCAAGTTTTGAAAAATTTTTAAATGCAGTCTTTGGGGTACTTTTTATTCGTCATCTGAAATTTTGACCTCGATTAACGCCAGAATCAGAGTCAGAAATTTCAACAGTCAACTGCAAAGTATTTAAATTTGATATTCTGGTTTGGATTCCCGGTTATGAATGGTTTGAAAATATGTCTCCAACATCTATATCTATTGAAGTGCTGTAAACTCCAGCTATGACTTCAAATCTCTAGACTCCGACACCACATACATTCCTGATCTATTTACTTAAGTTTGAATCTTGCACTTTCGATCAAAATTCAATTCATAAAATATCTCTAATTTTAGTCCTCACAATCACTCACTAAATTTGATGCTTTTTGAGATCCTGTAGAAATCGAGCATAAATAATGTTCACATAATTTTCAGCTATTAATATTTTTCTCAGGGTGATTTAGACATCCATATCCGAAATGCATCAAAATATGATGATATTAGGTTTCTTCATCTACCTGGTCTACGCATGGAATGGGATATTACTTGGTTATGTAAGGAGGGGGTAAATCCAGATGATCATCATTCAGTTGAACCCTGCGCTCCAGATAAAGTTCCAGGTATTCGTTGTTTCTCATTGGTTGTTTGTACATCTTTGCGACTGGCAATGCTCTAATGGAACTGTTATTCACATACTGATTGTTTTGCTCAATTGTTCTTATAGAGTTATAGATTTTCTATGCAATTTATGAACCGGGCTATTTCAAATTTTCACCACAAAGATGGAAGCGGTTGCTAGACAGATATTAGTTTTTTTTTTGTGTGTTTTGGACACTAAGAATGTTTTGATAAATAGTTGTTGTTGGAGTGCCTTTTTTGTTGGTGTAAAAGTTGCTTTTCTTTGCAATCATGAGACCCACTTTTTTTTAAATTTCAGCATATGAAAATGGTATAAATTGCCAGAAGGCTTTTAATTTTATTATTTTGTTTCAAAATGAGTTCCTATTGGACTTGATATTTCATTCAAAATTTTTCTGTTTTATTGTTATTTATGGGAACAATTAATTTATTCTGTCCAGCGTGACTACCTCTGCCGACTTTGTCCACCATGTTGCTACTCCTCACCAGTTACCACTACTGAGGTCTCGTCAGTATTATTTATCAAAATTTATAGAATTTGAGCAGATCAATGCAAAATATGCATATTTAGAAACATGAATATGACGAAGAAAAGAAAGACAGTGACACATTGGTCATCCGATATGGTCATCACATCGAATAACTTTGTTTGCTCCCTCACGTCAAATAGAAATTTTAAGTAGATTCTTATTGACTAAAATGATGTCTATTTTACTTATTTCTCTAATCTTACATAGGAGAACTTTTTATGAGCTTTGACCTTCGTGGCCTTATATTTGATCATGCTCTTCTGTTTTAGGAGACATCACACAACATGATTCATTTGCAAATTTTCGATCAGAGAATATCAATTTGTCAGTCAGTTTGGAAGTTAATCCTTCGAAGTCAATTGCAGATGAAGATAACAGAAACCCAGAAATATTATTTTATAGGTAAGATGAATTTTCATTAAATAAAGTCGGATATGGTTTTTTGATTGTCAATTACCTATTCAAATTATGGCACTCCAGAAGTGTGTGTACCAATATGGAGGTAACTAATCTTGTTTGCCTTCTTTACATCAAGTTGTGTAAAGGGACTGAAACCTATGGACAGGGTTATATTCACTTGGCTAACAGACAGTCCCCAACTCGTAATAGAACTAAAATAAGGAAAATCGGAATAAAATTATGGCCTAACCCTTACCTGGTACACACACTACTAGAGTACCCAAATTATTATTGTATTAGGATCATCAAAACAACCAAATATAATAAAAAAATTCATATTATTTTCAGTACAACTTTAAGGTGGTTACGAAATTTTGCTACTGCAATCAATGGGGTCACAAGACCTGTATGTAAAGGTGCAATATTCAACAATCATTCAGCACCTAAATTGAAATTAAGTCGTCATTACAAGAACAATACTTTGTCTTTCAAGTTTCCAAGTTTAAAGGTGAGTTTTTATTCTCATCAATAATTATTATATTCTAAAGTGTTTCTTCAAGATGTCAATCTTGTCTTCTTTTTTATACGATGCAACTTAGGAACAGTGATGCTTGTGTGAAAAATTAATGAAGCATAATTATACCATTGATTCCATTGAGTGATTACTGGTTACAAGGGTTTCATACTATCATAAAGATTGTGAACCAATGGACTAAATTTTACATGTCGTTTTAAATTTTGTGATCATCCGTGGGCCGCCTAGGGTAGGGTGTGATAAATTTGTTACGCACCGCCGTTCTAAAACTAGTAGATCTTCACATATTGTTCCACAATGGATGGTAGTAGGGCGCCATATAAATATACTATATTATCTCCACTCAAAAAAATATTGGAATTATATATTCTCCATGTCAGCTTAATCTTTTTCTTTTTGAATTTTCCAACTTGAGACATGTAGTTATTGAAACCACCAATTAAAGATCTAAAAACCAACAATTGATCATTATTTTCATTTCCATATAGATGAGGTACTGGTCATCTTATGCACAACAGCTAGGTATAGAATGGAAATGTGGTGAAGGAAGCATAGTGACAAAATTTCAACTAACTTTGGTACCATTCGAAGGAATTCTTTTACGTAGAAGTGCTGGCAATTGGTCTTTAGTACAAGCAACTTGCGAACTATCTCAAACTAAGGTAATGTTATTGTTACTCATTCCCTAAAAGTTATTTTAATTTTTTTTTGTTCAAGTCTTTATTCTGTTGCTTGTGGTCAATACCTATCTATCTATCTCGCATTTGGGGATTTTTATATTTTATACAGGGAATAGTAAAGATGATATAACGACTTATTCATATAAGTGAACCAAAGCCTTTGTAATGTTACCAGTCCATGTCGCTTATTGGTATAGTTAGTTATCATATTATTTGTGTCAGATGCAGGTTGATGCAGACATGTTGATGGAGGAAGCTATATGATGGTGAGGTATTCGGCACAGGAGTTGAACCTGCATTTAATCAGAACTGTTAGATCAACTGTGATTCTACCTGACATGCAAGCGCAGAGCTTTTCTTCTATGTTTTAATGACTCTAACTTGAGTTTTCAATTTTTTCTGTGTTCAGGTTTACCTGATAAAACAAACACGTAAAACTACTTCTCAAGAAACTCAAGACAATATTGATGAAATATCACAATTATCATCATCGTCATCATCTGTGGCATCGAATCATGAACAAACAGCTTCAACACAACTTGGAACTCTTGAGTCCAATTTTCTCCTTAGTTTGTCTCATATGGCTTACAGGTTGGTTGTTGTTTTCTTCGGGCAGTATAGAGCAGGGGTGGGCACGATTTTTTGAGTGGAAAACAAAATGCCTCTTGTCAAAACAAAAGTGAATCGCATTCTGAACATATTCCTTAAGCTATTTTTTAGCTGAAACATCAAAATTTTGTTTTAGTTTGGTTGTAGCAGCATCAGGTGAGCGATATTGGATTACGCAACGGGTCGTAGTTTGCCCATGTCAGGTATAGAGGCATACAGGCAGAAGTTCCGAAAGCCATATGCTCATTAGTCATTACTAAAAAGGCTGACTGTTCATGTACACACAGACTAAGATATAATATCTTTGTCATTTTTGCTTTCACAATTAAATTCAATCAGATCTTTTTAATATATACTGCTTTATTGAAAATATGAACTACTAGTAAGCCACGTTGGGGTGCTTGGGTTTTGTGTGCACCTCTGTTGTAAACAGCTGTGTTTTCAGCTAGTTTGAGCTATTCCTATATGAATGTGCATGCCTTATAGCGCATTGGCTTAGCAGGCTTTGCGGATTACACTTCATGGTCCCGTCTCGCATAATAAATTGGGTTGGCAATGCCGAAATGGAGAAACTCCAGTCAGCCTCCTTGTATAGGGAGAGAAAGACATAATTCTATAATCAAAATAGATTTATTTCTGTGTGTAACAAAATCTTCAGTCGTACCATGTAAGCACCCAAGTGCATTTCTTGATAAACAGAAAAACATTCTCACTATATTTCTCATATTAATTAAACAATGATTTATATTTTTAGATTGGAAAATAATTCTCAGTCACAGAAATCAACAAGATCATCTGCTAATGCACAATCTTCATCTAATATTCCTCCAACTCCGATGCGAGAGCACAGAAGTGAGTAACTTAATTATCTGCATTTTGAGCTCTGTGGTGGCTTGGCGTTTATACTGTTAAGTTGTCATAGCAGATTGCACATCTCTGGTTCAAATTCTATGCTCCACATCTCATCTAGAGCGTAATACATTGGGTAGGCAATGCTGAAGCAGATAGATTCTGGTTCTTTCAAATATTATTAACAACTCCTTACAGTCACACATTGTTAGGTAACAGTCGCTGCTTGTATAAGGCGGGCCTTGGTTATGTAAGGTAAGTTTCTAGATATATGGCTGCTAACAAGTACGCTGTATAATACAAAATTCTGATTTTTTTCCAATCATCAAGTTTTGCTCTAGTATAGCATGTTGAATATTTTGAACTATAATATTTCCACATTTTGTGATAGCCATATTTCTGATTCACCTCTTTCCTGTGATGCAATGTAATGTGTTGATTTAGAATAAATTAATTGTAAATGCCAGTTTCATTTACCATTATAATGTAGCGAGTCATTTATATTCCAATTCTAACTTATCATTATAATTAGCAGACACACATATATAAAGTTAACTTGTGCCCAGGGGTGGACACTTTCAATAATTTTTTCTTGTCGAACTTGAATCTAAAAAACCAAGCAACATGCCGCCATGTTGATACATTGTTACATCACAATAATATTTCACAAGTTGCGCCATATCCATTTCATAATGCAGAGCTCTGGATTTTATTTTTCTTAAACGCTTTTTTTTTCAGATAATATCTCATTCTGTTTATACATGCTGTACAAATAAATATATCAGTACAACACACCCTGACACTTATAAATTGTAGATAAACATAGTTCATATTCCAAAAATATAACCAGACCAAATTTGTTTGCATTTTCGCAATATTCTGAGAATTAGATTTTATCGTTTGGTGATGAGAATTATTTTTAGCAATACTGCCCATCAATTTAAATAGTTTGTTCTTCAAACCAATTTTTGATTGCAATGTGTTTTTGTTACCCTGGGCGTGCCATTTTGTGATAAAGTGATAAGGTAAACTGTTAAATTATCAATTTCACACTAGTTGCTAGAAGATTAAAAGTCATTTAATGGAGAATTTTGATGTTTTGTTTTGACTGTATTTTAAGTTGAGTTGACGCTATTTTCTTTTTGACGACTGCTTGCTTGTGTATCTAAAAAAATATCATAACATGACGCTCTCATCATGATATGTTTTCACAATAATATGGAATTTGCCAATACCTTTCCGAATGCCCAACATTTTTTTTTATTGTTCAAACTCTTATAATAATAATATGTGTGAGGTATTTTCATCGGAAATTATATATATCTGCTATCAGCATGAGAAACATTTTCAATTTTAAAATGTTGTAAACAACTCTGTGTGACATCCTGAGAGAATTAAAAACAATATGATTCCACCAGCATAAGCTTCATTACCTCCTTAAACTATGCACAACATTGTATCTTCGCAGAATAAAAGGTTTCTTCCGAACAATCTAGAAATGTTAACAATTATTACATGGTATTAACACTTATCATGGTATTAGTTTAAAAAAGGCACTTAGAGAGAACCATACAATGAATAAAATTTAGTTATGAATGTTTTTTAAACTATTTTTCAGTATATAATGTAGTCTTGTTGTGCTCTATTCAATATGGAGTATGTACAAATCTATTATATATACAGATACATAGGATTATACATTATTTTGCTTGGTTGAGAATGTCCTATAGTTATTTATTTTTTGTTAGATGCCCATTTATGCCTGTCGCTCCGAACAATGCCAGGAGGGACTGGAATCTTATCGGTTCGGCATTGCTTACCCAATCTATTACACCCTGGGTGGGGTGGGGGAGATGGAATTTGAACCCAACACACCAATTGCACAGACCCAATCCATGAATATTGAATTCAATTAAGATATTCAGATATTGGATTATATTCAGATATATTATAAAATAATACAAAATGAAAGGAAACATATCAGGCATATACATTATTTGGTACCTCCCGTGGTATGTGTACCAGGTTAGGGTTAGGCCATAATTTTATTCCAATTTTCCTTATTTTAGTTCTGTTACGAGTTCGGGGACTGTTTTTGTTAGCCAAGTGAATATACCCCTGTTCATAGGCTTCCGTCCCTTTACACAACTTAATGTAAAGCAGGCAAACAAAATTAGATACCTCCATATCGGTACACATACTTCTGGAGCACCCAATATTCTATGCCGTCAAGCGTGGAACCTATGAAGAACCTGAAGAGTTATTAAGCAATGTCTTCTGGTTGAGGGTGAAGGTGCCGAGCAATTTTCTCAGACCTAGTTTGTTTTCAGGTAATTTTCAAAGAGATAAAAGACAAAGAACAAGTCAGAGAAATCGACGTCAGCAAGCGACACCAAGAAAACCTCCATCACAACATAGGTGGGAAACATTTCTTTGCTTTTTTTTCTTTTCATGTTTGTATTATGTAAACTTCAAGTGGTTGTATGTAGTTGTATTTTTATGATCATTTTCATCCCTCTCAGAGGAAACGGATTTCAGGATCTGAATTTTCTGAATAATTCATTTTTAATGAATTTGAATTCTGTAATGCTACTTTCTTAAACAGACAGTTTCAAAAATTAAACAAAAGAAATAAGTAGCATGCCAGGGGTGTCCGAAATAAATTAAATATTATAAGAGATTTGAAATTACGGTAAATATATTTTATTACTTTCAAGAAGGATTTAGCAGAAGCGATATCTTATGAGTCTCGTAGCATGACAAAAAGATCTTCGTTTTAATTCGAAATATTGTAGTAACACAATACCAATGAAATCATTATCTTAACACTACTGCAACTTGTCAGACTTTCAGACTTTAGAAGAAAAGTAATTATTCTTTTCAAAAGTGAAAATCTGACTTGAAAAGTGATAAAAATTCTGACGAATTTTTCGTTTTTCTGGTGACTACGCTGTATAATATTATCTCAAAAGGCTAATACAACTTAAGCTTTGACTTTAATGTATTTGGATCAATTTCAGGCACCACCTTGTTGTTCATGATCTTCGTGCAATGTGGACAACAGATAACAGAGATGTTGGATTCGGATTATATGAAGGATATAATAAAGCTGCAATATTGAAACATAATCTCAGCACAAAAGTATTGAAGAATATATTGCTGAAACCTAATGAGGGTTTGTTTTCAATTCAAATTTATCAGTTTTATACAAGCCTGTAGATAAGTGACTGCTTAGATGAGGGCAGTCAGAATAAGTAACCATTGTAACTCGAAGATCTTGAGTACGAAACCCATAATCCACCACCTCAACAGTGTTATAATAAAATATAATCGGAAAGATTTTGATTCCTTCAAAACTTGGAGTGGCTGCTTGTACCGATCCTTGTCGGAAGTGAAGGGGTGAAAATGTCTTATTAAAATTTGTTTCATTTTGGGTGATATGGAGTACTTGACTTGAAGGGTGTTTATATATATGATATATAAATTGATTTATAAAATTTTCTCGGGTGATTCTATTTTTCGGATAATAATGAGAAATGTGATGGAATTTGTTATATCTATTTAGTGTCTTACTTTGCACATAAAACATCAATAATGTTATTTATTTGTGGGTGAGCATACATTATAGAAAAATATGATAAACCAATAACTTTGTTTTCCCCCTCAGATCCATAACCTGCGACTTTAGTTGAACACTATGCCCACTGTGCCCACTAAACAGTCATAAATCAACCAAAAGCCTTTTGTATTCTATAATTTCATCCATTTGATTTGTATGCTTATTTGAATATTTTTTTACATTCACTTTAAAATTAAATATTTAATCTTCAGATGGTGCAGAAGACACAACAGATGGAAGTAGATCTAGCAGTGCATCGAGTTTTCGATCACAGAGGTCAAGTGTTTCAACATCATACAGTGAATACTCTGTTCATCCTCCTGTCAGCCCAGGAGAAAAACTTATGCAATCTGCTAATTTACTTCTTAATAAATTGTTGTCTGATACTGATAACAGGTATGAGTATTTCTTTTTTAGTTATTTTATTGTTGATTTTAAAGTTGATTCTATTTAAAATTAGTTTTTCTCAAATTTTTTTTTTTTTCAATGATTAATTTTTTTTAATAGAGTATTGTCGTTTAATCTCTTTGATTTGAGAACTTTAGCACACTTCTCCCTTATTTTGAACTTCATGGAATACCTTTACTACTCATTAAGATTTGTTGTTGGGACTGAAGTACCAGGATCTGATAAAGAACAATTGAATGGTGTTTCGGCATGTCAGATGGATGATGTCATGAATCAAAACTGGAGAATCAAGTTCTTCAACTGCCAAGCTATGTTAAAAGTAAGTGATAAGATTATAATACACGGTGACCCAGAAAAAAAAGGAACCAGGGTCATTTGAAGCCTATTTTATAGAGAACATAACTTTTGTGCAAAGCATTTTGTATTACTGAAATTGGTACCGGTTATACATAGTTATATGTATAAAAGTGGAAAAAATTGCTGATAAACAGGCAAAAGGTTTATTTGGTTGATAATTGGTGGATTGGGCTCAAGAAGTTTTTGTCTTTCTTTTAACAACATCAACGAGGTGATAGCCAAGTGTTTATTTTTTCAACTGGCTCTTCACGTCTCTTTCACAGATATATTATTTTTTTACTATATATGATTATCAACTATAAATCCAAGTAATTTAAAATCATGGCCTTGCATTGAAATGGTTTTGAAAGATAAGTTGAATGGATTCTATTTCACATAAAAGATTAAGTACACACTAATTCTTTACATTTTCTTGTGAATTTTGATCATTATATTGACAGGGACCAAAAACTCAAGGGTACATAATATTAACTGCTGCGGAAGCCGATTTAATAAATCGTGAACACAAAATAGCATGGAGAGATTCACAACTAACATCAAAATCAACATGGATGGGTTCATTAAATGATATGCAGATATTTGCCACTGTTGAAAGAAATGTTCATTCATCAGGTGAGCCATAATCAGGGATGTCCATAATGTATCAAATATTTAGTACATTCAAAGTTAGATATATTCAATATATAAAGCTTAAAGCAATACCGGTATTATTTTGAATATTTTCATTTTTGTGAAAGATTATATATCAAATTAGATAATATTATTTTAAAATTTATTCAAAATAGTGAATTGGTTGGTTTTGGCAGTATACAGACCTTTCTGACCATGAACTTTTGGGCTACTGACTTCTCTGACCATGAGAAGACCATATGGAAGGGTTTGTGGTTCTAGGCTAGGGTTCTGTATGACTAATAATCGCAAGGTACGCCTGTAGGTTGGAGGTATATATGGTTACTGTGGTGAATAAAATACATGTATGTCAAAAATCAAATTTTGGTTCGAGAAGGCCATGGTCAGAAAAGTACCGGTAATCAAATTGGTTTTAGCCATCCCTAGGTGTAATGATCGTTACATAGAAAAACCCTATTCACATGTTGGTCATGGAGTTAGATATATATGAGTATATCAGGAATTCAAGTTTCATTATGCTGTTTCTATTACTTGGAATCTTCGTATCATCTTCTTGTAATATTTCCTATGATTTGGAGAAGAATAAAGTAAAAAAAAAAATAATTTAATAATTTTTATTGTGTGTTTCCAGGGCAAGATGGAGAAAATGTGCCGTGGTTAACAGCAACCAATATTGAACCACGAGGACCAAGTCCTGGTATGTTGGATATCAGTGATCTAATGACTGGAGGTCAAGCTATTGGTGGAGTAGTAGGAGATGGAGTATCAGCAGGTATGATGCGACGAAAACCTAATTTTTTCAGTTGAGGTATATGTAGCAGATATGTTTTTTTTCTGAATCTGGTTGCTCAGAGTTTTGCTCTGTTCCGAAGAAATTCAATTTACCTGACATGTACTGGTAATCAGATGATAGGCTGTGGTTCCATTTGATCAAGCTGTCTAATCGGCTTTCATCTTACCCAAATAAATCTGACAGTCCTATCCCATCCCAAAGGCAGTTTCTATAGGGTAATTTCTGTTTATCTCTCATCACAAAAAGTTTCAGTGCAAAATTACTGCTCATGTAGAATTTCTTGCATTCTTCCTGCACATCCCTCACGTTTTCAAATGGTCCTCGCAGGTAGGTGTAAATACCATCCTAATCTGATCAATACATTCATAACACAGTGCTTCAGTTTTCAAAATCTTTTTATATCTCATTTGCCTTACAGAAAATTTCTTCTTTGCTTTTTCCAGGTTCCTTTCAACTGCAGCGAATCATGTCTCGATGTTCATGTCGAATGTATTACATTGGTTATGAACTAATTGTTGATTCTGAGGAAACCGATTATGGTCAGTTACTCACATCACCTTCGCATGATCATTCGTATCAAAGGTTGCCAGAATTTGATCCAATTTCTGAAGAATCTAGTGATTTATTGGGAAAAGAAAAACCAGTCAATACATTAACTGTTGTTCAACATGATTTGGAAATCTGCACAAATAATGTAGGTTTGATTATATCGCTAGTTTTATAGTATTTTAACGGCATCTTATTCAATAAAGACGGCATTACTATGATAATGTATAATCTTTCTCTGGCATTTTTGATCCAAACGTCTTTTTGCATGCTCATTTAAAGTTCAAGTTGGGCTCAAGATTGAGTAGGTGGTCGATTGTACGCAGGAACTGTGCCACTCAAAATGAGCTTCCGGCTATGATTCGTAATAGAAAACGTCATGTAGTATCCACCCCCACCTCTAGTGCTAACAACCTATGTATCTAGACTACCCTTTGAGATCAGTAGACTACTTGAGTTGATATACCAATATAATTTAATCTATCAATTGTGGTGACTTAAGTTAAATTTTCATAGAAGGATCCATGGAATTTGATTTTTTTTATTATTCATTTTTAGACACAATATTCCATGATTCTTGATATTGTTGAGAATCTTCTCCTGTACGTTGAACCAGGAATGAGAGAACATTGGGAACGAGTTGATAGAATGAGATTTCAACTTCAATTAACTTCTCTGGATGATGTAGCAAGACACAGAGAAGCTTTGACAAAATTACAAGATGAGATTCGACAAAGACTTAATCACATTAGACAATTGGAAAGAGATTTGTTTAAAGTCGACAGGGTATGATTACTTCTATTTTCTTTAGGTTATTTCATAATACTAGTACTTTTGTGTACTTATCATAGCTATTCTTTGTACCAGGGGTGGGCACTTACTTTTCTGAGCGGGCGGTTACTAATAATGAACTTGATTACTGGGCCGGAGGTTCAAAACTCATTCTGAAAACTATGAATAAAAAACAGTTTATTTACAACAGCTATTCCAACAACTAGGCTAACGTTTATTGTTTATAAAAAGCACAATGTAACAATCGGGGTTATTATGATCTGATTTTCATCTGTATTTTCAATGGAAATTTATATTCAAGAAAATTATAGTCTCAATTTCAGAAAACACAAGTGGGCAGGATGAAACACTTGCGCTGGCACTTGCGGGTCGTAATTTGTCCACCCCCTGCTTTATACCTTCGAAGAGATGAAAAGCTTGAGTTAAGAACTATACTCTCAAGAATTAAACTTGCTATTATTGCTAACCTGTGCCACCAACATAGTCAGGGATAAGCAATGGGTTATCTACCATAACCCTCAATTTAAATTATCTGACTAAAATTCAGCATCATCTCATACATCTGAAATGAATGTAATATTGTTTTCAGCTTGTAGACAAAGATCCTTCTAACGAGAAATTGATATCACAGTCGGTTCATTTACGTAATACATTGATCAATGAAAAGGAGACATTAAAAGAAGATAGTGAAGAACTAGGCATTTTCATCAGGTAAATTTCTTAAAGGAGGTCTTTATTGTTTTCATGGATTGGGTTAGGAAAGGGGACAGATCCCACACTTCAGGCAGCCAACGAAGTAGGTTGACCACCTATGGAGGACCTTCTTCCCCTCAAAAATTGTTTTACAAGAAAACTAGCCTTGTAAAGCCAAGCGTTACCAAGGCTTATTATTTTCCTTACTCATAGTTTACGGCACAATTTGGTTGTATAATGGAATATATACTTATAACTTCTCTATGCTACCATTTGTGGTGACTGTTGAAATCAAGTTATATATTGATTTCAGGTGCTTCAAGGAATTGTACCTACAACAAAAGACACGATTATCATCTGTACAGCAAGCATCTGAGCATGAAGAAAAATGGGACGAAGAAGCTGCTGTTGCTAGAAGGACTGAAGTGTCATTTGGTCAAGTGAAATGGCATTTGACGGATGCTGATGGTCAACTGACAATTGCAAAGTTTGAGTTGAGGAACTTCGTGTATGAAAAGGTTGTTATTTTATTATTATATACAGTTCCATTTGCAACTCCAATTGTTTATATTAGTTTTATATCTGATTTTATTTTAGATAAATATTAGTTGATTTTAATCATCAGCAATCCATCTTAATTATTATTAACTATTTTAATTTGACATTTTGAAAATTATGTATTAAATTTGTGTAGCGTGTCATGCTAATGTAGCTTAGATTAGTAGACACCATTGTTTCTACTTCTGTCATCCTCATATATATATGTTTTTTCTAGATCAACAAGAGCGACGATTCCCTTGAACATCATTTTGAACTTGGATGGCTTTGGTTGCAAAATCTTCTTCCTAATTCTGTCTATGTCGATGTTTTGAAACCACAAGGTGATCAAGCAGGTGCAAACTCATACACAGTAGTAGGAAGTGGAAGCCAACGTCTCGCATTAAGAGCATTGTGTAAAGTCAGACCGCCTGTCGGTGGCATATCTGTAAAAGAACATCTTGAGGTGAATGAATGGTTATTTATATTAAAATTGGACTTGAAAATCGTTGTAAGATCATGTGTAATATGATTAATGTTCATGATTGTACCTTGGTGCTGTGAAATACCAGGTTTTTATGATTATTGTGGCATTTCATTGGAAAAATATGTCTGTCTTCATATTTTGAGAAGCACATATCACATGTTTGAGATCAACATAACCTTGTACCAGGTCCCATATCTATCCATCCTTGCTTTATACAATTTGTTTTTTATTGATATGTATAACATACATATCAATATTGTATTTTAAATAGGATGGAAAATTTAACTTTTATTTGATTTTTGGTAACCTTAATCTTATTTATTCCACTGTTCAAAATCTGATTTGGTTCTTTTTGTATGAACGAATTTTGTTTGTATAAGTATTAGGAATATATCACATTGTCCTTCATATTGATTGCTTTTCTTTTTCTGCTCAACTTTTGTTGGGCCGAGTATGTCTTCATGACATTTTAATGCAAGTTAAAACAGAAGCACATCGAAAATACCTTTTGTAGATATGATTTTACACTGCAATGAAATAATCAATAAGACTACTGTTAATCGAAACAAGTAAAAAGCCATAAATAATAATACCAATCAAAATAGTCACCTACCTTACATTTCTATTCTTTCAATATCATCCTGGTGAAATATACAAACTTTGTTTTTAATGGATATGCGCATTTTTAGTTAAAAGTATAATTATATTTTCAGCTGAATGTTGTACCACTGATCATTCAATTAACGGACCAATTTTTCAAGCGAATGATGTTGTTTTTCTTCCCGGGGAAAAATTCTGAAGATGTTGATCAAGAAGATCACACTGCATCAAAAGATAATTTGAATGCAACTCTGCTGGGTTTAAGTAGTTCAGCCACAAATTCACAAGGAACTTTAAAACCAAAAGTACCTTCTCCACCAAAGAAAAAGAGTTCTAACGAACTTGTTATATCTTTTAAAGAACAAACAACTCCAGGAGCTGGGCGTAAAAATTGGTAGGTATCTTTTGATTTCAAATATCTTTTGGGGTAAAATGTAATGCTAATCAACTCAAAATTGGGTGGTCCAGAAGTGTGTGTACCAATATGGAAGTAACTAATTTTTTCGCCTACTTTACATCAAGTTGTGTAAAGCGACTAAAACCTATGGGTATGTTCACTTGGGGTATATTCACTTGGCTAACACAGACCGCCCACTGGTAACTGAACCAGAGTTTGGTTGCATTTATGTGTATCATAGTCTCTTCTTCGCAGTTATGAAATTGTCTTGAAAAATCACGAAACTTTATGCTTTCAATGCATTAAAAGTGCAGTCTGCAATTGATTTTTCCTTGCTGAATGTCAGCTTTCATTGTAATTTAATAATATCAATTCCGCTTCTGTTCTATCATTTTTTACGACTTATTTAAACGCCTTTTGCCCTGAACAAGCATCTACGATTTCCACGGTTTTTCAGGTTCAATTCAGCATTGCCATACTCAATTTAGTACATTCTGGGTTATGTCTTGAAAGTTGTTTTTACTTCTTTTAATCATATCTCTTTCATTTACCCACATTTTAATTTTTTTCTCACTCTTAGGAGACATAATCATGGAGGGAAATTTGATGTTGCAGACGATGTCGATAAAATGAAAGAAAGAGCAGCAAAAAACAATACTTTTCTTTACATAAAAATTCCGCAATTTCCAATAAGAGTTAGTTATAAGGTAAGTGCAGATCTATTTTTCTAAATTCTACTATATATACTCGTATAGATTTATGTAGCTCTGTATAAGTACAATTACCTGAACGAGATAATACTGCTAATTCAATATTGACAAATTATTCAGGGAGAGAAAGAAAAGAACATAGAAGATGTTCGTGACTTCAATCTCACTATTCCTATGTTTGTATATCACAATATGACATGGACATGGCATGATCTTGCTATGGCAATCAAACGAGATTGCAAGAGGACTTTATTATCTCAGGTATGTCTTTATGTGTTACATGAAATACATCAAAGCATTACCATTCCTGTACAAACCTATCTCAAGAGTTTCAACCTCTTTCAAATTCAATATAATCTTTTACAATACCTTTGCTACAAACAAGGCTCTGAGAAAGCATTCACTTTAAGGTGCTCCAGAAGTATTTGTACCAATATGGAGGCAACTAATTTCGTTTGCCCATTTTACAATCAAGTTGTGTAAAGGGACTGAAACCTATGGGCAGGGGGATATTCATTTGGCTAACACAAACAGTTCCCAAACTTGTAGTTGTAATAGAACTAAAATAAGGAAAATCGGAATAAAATTACAGCATAACCCTAACTTGATACACATACTTCGGGGGTACCCACTTTTATGCAAAAAGCTGATATTTCTCTTAGGATCGGAATTTTTTTATTTGGAATTCTGAACGCTATTATTACACCCTGGTTGAGATGGTGGACATGGGGTTTAAACGTGAGACCAGCGACGCTAACATAGGTCGGTTCAAATTTCGAACCACTAGGCCATCACACACTATTTAGATTACAAAAGCTTCCTGGGTGGAAAAACTTTTGGCAAATTCATATTAGTTTCAGTCATACCAGGGAATAATGTCCCAATTGTAGCCTCGTTAATTTTACTACAAATCTAACCTAGCAGAGGTTTTATGCTTCAGGCTTTTATCTTATGCAAAGTCCATGCTTTCGAAAACAAATAACTGGCTAACTAATTCCATACCCAACTTGGACTGATAACCGTACGAGAGGCCGTGGTTCGTCATATGATTAAGCCGGCTCATGGGCTTTCTTCTCCCCCAGGATAAATATGTAAATCCTATCCTTTTGTTATCCTCAAGTAAGCAAGTGTTGCCTTTAGCAAACTAAAACACTGACTAAATTGAACAAAAAAAATAAATAAATGCTATTGAGCACAGCCTGATGTGCTCGTATTGTTCCCTTATTTCAGGTAATCAAGGAGAAGTTTCATCTTGGTAGTTCCAGGGGTTCACACAAAGAACAACAATTGTCTTCTGGAGCATCAAGCAGAAGTTCTTCTTCTCTTCCTGCTGCTGGAATGGAGGCAGATGTAGGAGATCACAAAAAGGATGAAGAAAAATTTAAAATGCTTTTTGGAAATAGTTTAAAAAGAAGTGAGAGTCACAGAAAAAGCTTTAAAAAGGGAGTCTCAATGTTCAGAAAGAAAAAATAATTCTATTATTTGTTATATATATAAAAAAATATATCAAAACAAGTGTATTTATTTGCCAAATGCAGTTCATGTATGTTATATATATTCACTAAAACATTAAGGTAGGTAGATAAATATATTATATCATGGTAATTCCTCTGGCTTTGTTCGTTTTTTGAGTATTAATACATTTGCGGTAATGTGAGAGAGGAATATTTCTAGATTGTTGGCACTGTGTTCCTTTTTTGCTATTGTATATGTTTGCATGGCTCATGTGTTTACTTTGAAATAGCAATTAATGCTTTGGTATTTTTAATTTTCACTTTGTATACCTTAATTGTTTTAATCTCACTACAATCAGTCCGAATACAGATAAATTATGATAAAAATGCAATAAAAAATCCATTTTATGTTTTCTAGTCAGTGGGACATTGGATGCATCTAGCTAGGATTATGCTGTTATTAAAACTTGACATGTAAGGAGAAATGCGTATATATTCAAATATTTTTTCGAGATGACCCTATAGTGGGCGATCTGTCAAGTCTGGATCCCGTGTGAAAGGATTTTTCAATGTCGCAGCCGCTTCTAGGTTCCCCAGCAACCGTTGTACTCAGAACTATTCATACCTACGCTGTATCAGAATATTAACTTGACGATCAGTTGTTGTTCGTCGCCAGGTAAAATTGCTGCCTTCCTCGCTGTCGCATAGAATAGTAGTTGCGGCTGTGCACAGACTGACTCTTCTGAACGTTTGCAAAGTATTACACGCTGTTTGGGTTTTGAAAGGGAATTGGGAAATTAATGGAAGTGGAACGGTGGAAGTTGTTTCTTTAAAACATTCGATATCATCCGCTGCTGCCACGGCCACCCATGGCGATAAGTCTCCATTTGGCTCCAAGAAATTCTGATTGGGTCTGGTATGACCCTTTCCCCGAGCATCGACTTTCTTGATTACTTCGTGACATTGGCCAATCAGCAAGATGCAAAAAGTGACGTAACAATGCTCCCGTTTCGCATCCGCTCAGACACTTTTTCACTCAGATATATTTTCAAGCGTGGTCGTAAACATTACCTCGTTTTCGCGTTTTGAACTCTATTCGTTAGTTTTCAGTCGTGTTTCGAAAACTTAAATATAAATCAGATAATTCAATGATCACTCTGTCTTCCTAGGAGTTTTAATTTAATTGCAGTATTAAAAAATTAGTGTAGAACTAGCTGTGATAGACTAGGCTAAAATTCTTTACCGGTACTTTTAAATAACAGATTGTTGTATGCGATGAATAATAATGATGATTTGAAACACATACCCCATTTTACAGGCGCCAACTCGCAAAAGCACTCTAAAAATAGCCCCGAAAATTTTGCAGTGGTAAAGTATAGGAATAATTTTTCGGGGATCAAAGGTCGGGGAAAGGTCCATTGAAAATACGAACAAGAAACTGATTCAATTTTGAAAAAAACGTTATCATCAACTTGATGATATTAATACACCAGGGATGTTAATGTTGAAGAAACAGTGAAACACCACAAACATGCAAGTCAGTGAGGTATATCAGCCCAGTCAGCCGTGCAAACAGCATTCGTTAGAGCTAATTAGAGTGCACCCACGCAGAACGTAAACATCGGAAGCCCCGGCAACCATGCACGCGGTTCACGACCTTTTGCTTCATCAACTTTTCTAGTCCATCATTTTAAGAAATCTGGAATAATGAGTTATTTGTTATGATCGCAGGTTTACTAGTTTAGATAATACAATAATAGGAAACGGTATAAATAATATAAGATTTCTCCAGAAACTGAATGCATTAGAAATGACTTGGTTTTAATCTCCTAATAATGTAGGATAAAGGATAGGATAGGATAAAGTATAAGTATAAGTTTATTTCGACTCCATAATCAGCAAAACAATAAAATGAATGCTAAAAATAAATAAATAAAAACTGATTATGAAATCAGGAGAGCGAACAAAACCTTAGATAAGGTTTAAAACGTACAGAATGTATATAAGATGGAAGGTTTTGCCAAGAAGATGTGGTACGTGTTCACTCACCTAAAATAATTGAAATATTTCACACACGCTCACACGCACCCACACACACAACCATATAGAAGTTATTAAGTAAAGGGAACATGAAAAATTACATACTGGTAGTTAATAAAAAATAAATAAATAAAAATTACTTGCCACACCATATTAATAAATTTATCATGATTGCCACTGCCAAATTGATCAATTTTATAAATGGGAGTGAACAGTAAAGATAAACTTTTATAAAAAAATATATTGTCAAGCTGATTATAGATGGAGTCAAATGCCAAAATGCCCAACCAAAGTTGCCAGAATTGGGTGCATGAAGAGGTGGGCTAGACCACTTCATTGCCCAAACTAGAGCCTATTATTGCCAAATTGTAGTCCAGATTGCAATAAGTATTTAAATCTATCAGTAACTTTATAAGTATGAGTAATTATAATTAATTAAGGTAGAAAGACAGGGTATAGGAATATGTTGGTTGCTAAGGTTATAAGGTTTTTTTTCATTCTTAGATATTGACTTCTGCAAGGATAAAGGAATTAGGAATAAAGGAATTAGTATTGTTATTTCACAGGATCATTTCTTCATTTAATTATTATGGCGTAATAGGTTCAAGTTTATCGTGGATGAGACATCAGCCTGCGAATTTTGTTGTTGTAGACACCATTTATATTCAATAAACTAGCCATTGTATTGATCATCACAGAACGACCTGAAAAACAGAAAACAAATCTGCGAGTAGGATATTCAAGGGTTACATATTTGGAAACAGCACTACCCTACACTTTTGTTTAGAATTAATTATTATTTTGAGTAGATATTGATTATTAGTTATCTATCTATAAAACGCTAGTTCAAAGACCAGAGTTGAAACTTGCTAACACAAAATGACGGAATAACTGAATACTATCATATATTGATATATGAAGTGGAAGAGAGTTAGGTAAAAAGTAGGTAAGACCATTACTGCATTAGCAACTACAGAACTAAGCAAGTGCTTTAAATTATTATACCTGTTATTAAACTTATTATTACGGCACCATCAAGTCCATGCTTCCGAAAACAAATAACTAACTAATCCGATGCCCGTCATGGAATGGTAACCGGACGAGAGGAGGTGGTTTTCCATATTGTTAATCCGTCTTATCAGCTTTCCTCTCCCCCGGCATAAATATGTAAATCCTATCCTATTGAGGCAAGGAAGAAATGCGATAAATACCTCCAGTAAATTGATTTTTCATAAAATAAACTATAATATCACAGGTTATGCTTACTGCTGTACTGCCGATTTCACCATGATAAGCTAACTTTATATATCTTTCTACAAGTATAAGATTATTTTGATTTTATATTCAACATAACAAATGATAACTAATAGATAAAAATAAAGCAAATGGAACTAATTTCAGGATTAAGAAACTAAAAAACATAATATTAAATCACTCACACTCATAGCGATCAATCACAGAGATATAAGTTATAACAAAATAGGAAAAATGAGAAAAAAGGATAATATCATTTCGTACCTAAACAAGGAGACCAGAAAAAAATGAAAAACCACCATATCAACCGGTTTGTAAGGATTACCAAATTAGGTACTGAATTAATAAACAGAAGTAATCAAACAGTCTGGGAAATGCAGGGCTCTGATTGGACTTTTATTTCAAGTCATTAACAACTGATGACATTTATGTAGCTTATCCAATTTATTTTCTCTTCATACAGCTTTATAGTAACTGCTAGTAAGCAGGCCTATTGTAAAAATTTTTTTCACTTGCGTATTGAAATGTATTGTGCAAGTGAAAAAAATGATCCGCTTTCGGATCCTCGTATTGCCGCTCTTATGGCCTCTGTAGGAAATAGTTTAGACGACGAAGTTGATAATCCACCAGCGAAACAAGAATCAAAACATCCTGCTGAAACATTTGAAGAATTTTTGAGTGAAGAAAAAATTGTAAGTTATTGAGACTAAATGGTCAGATTTGTTTGAAACTTGGAAACAAACTAAGCATTAATTTACCAGTAAAGGAAATATTTTTTACAATTCTTAACTTGTTTGTTGCCAAGCATGTACAGGTCTGGTTAATCATGCACATCAAACATCTTTACATTAAACTGGGTCTGAAACAAATCAGTTAATTTGTGGAGAAACATTAGCTTTTATTGCATCTGAGGTCTTGAATGATTATTTTCTCATAATGTTTGAAACATTATAATTTGCATTTGCATATAAGTGGGTTTTCTTGCATGTCTCAATTCTAACGAATATGTGATAAAATCTCTGTAGTTCATGACACACAAATGTCTAATCACGTGAATATGCTCATGGCAGGAACATACAGGTATTTACAAAATTCTTTTTTAAATGTAACATGATACAGTCAAAACTCCCACCCTTCAAGACAAATTTGCTGACACTTGGTTTATATTTACATCTGACATTGATTGTCATTGGTATACTAATGCACTGCTTCATCATGTATTAGCTTATTAAATGTACGGTATATACTTTATTTTTAGGATGAATGGCCACAAAGGCTTACCTCAGAGGGTACTCTAGATCTCAGTGAAATCAGCACAAGTTCTTGGAGTGAGGAGGGAATATTAGAAACAATAAAAGAAAAGGCCCGTATCCTTTAAATCTTAATTCAAAAGTTAATAGTTTATTTAGTTGCTAATTGGCAGATATATATCACAGACTCTAAAATATGCCAAAAGATGTAGCTCATTCTACCGGGCAAATCACGACTGAATATTGGATAAAAAATGTTTCCGTTATAGGTTATTAAGTTGTGAATGCTCATCAAGTAATCAATGTATAGAAATCCTTAATGTTTTTTGTCTATATGCAATGTTTAAAGCACTTGATATTCATGTTCTTGAAAATATTGAAAGTCAAATTGAAGAATTTTCAAAGAAATTGGATGCTTTTGCTGGTTACATTGTCTCTAATGAAGAATTACCATCAAGAATGCGTGAAAAACTTTTTCATGCTCCTAAGAAAGGTATAAAGATGTTAGTACTGCTAGTAATTCAGTATTGTCAATATATTCACCTAAAAAAGGCTTTTACACAAACTTATGGGCAACATTCATAGAAACTACTAATTTGCTTTGTATTTGTTGCTTTATAAGTAGACTATATTTATTGGTGAATGGGGTGTGGCGGCTTAGTAGTTGGAGCGTTAGATTCAACTACAATGTCATCTCAAGTTAAAATCTAATGTTCAAATCCCTTGTTCACCACCTCAACCAGGGGATAATGAATTGGGTAGGAAGTACCGGACTGGAAAGATTCTGCTTCTTCCCATCTATATCAGGTATTTACCCAGCAATGGATTGTGCAGAGCCTTGTTCAGGACAAAATATAACCATGTCATATTGATATCAATATGTCAAGGCATGTCTGATCATAGCCATTGACCAAATTTTCTGAAATCCCCCAATCACCTATCCGTTGTTTCGAAACCAGATTTCAAGCTTGTCCATTTTCATATTTTCTAATTATTCGTTCCACAATATGAAAATTTTCTTGGTTTTTGAACTTCATAAATGTGTAAAAATTTTAAATTTGCAGAAGAACTTGAAAAAGCTGCAGATAGTGATGCAGTTGCCCTACATCATAGTAGAAAAAAGAAAAAGAAAGACGCAAAGGAAACAATGGTTGAAGCTATGCAGGCATCTAGGAGCAAAAATATTGATGTAAATTTATAATTAGGGCTTATTTTCACTTGAAAAGCTAAAGACAGAACTTTAATTTTCGTTGGGAAAAGTGAATTCCATTTCCCCCCATTTTGCCATCTTGATATTGCAAGTGACAAGTCTTGAGTACAGCCCTCATTCAGGGTGTAAAAATTGGGGTAGGCGGCAAGATTCCAGTATTTCCATGAAAGTAGCTCCTCATGAATGAGTGGCTGCTCATAAAGATCCTCGTTCATAGTGAATATGAGCAAACACCACGTCCAAAAAAAATCTTTTTTTCTTTTTCTCGAACTGTTCCAGTCAATTAGTATTACCGTCGTATCAAATACAATTAATTTACTGGTATTTGCCAAAGCTTCATTTTTAGTTTCAATGATACATTTATTAAATAGAAATTCCCTATGTTGAATACTTAAATTGTATGATAATAGTTAAATTATCTTATTAAAATTTGCACTCTTGTTTGTTACAATACATTCTAGTATGCAACCTTTCCTGGATTTCGACTTAACGAACTAACAGAATTACCAAGTCAACTCGAAGCTCCACAGATGCTAAATAAGATTACAGAGGCACAAGATTTTAATGTGAGTGGTTTCATAGAGTTGTTTTTATTCGAAGTGATATATATTTACCATTTTATGATAATAAGTGAATCATTTTTTTTCAGAGAGGTTTCAGTCAATTGTGGAAGAAGATTTTTTTGTCTGAAGCTTCAGTTGCCCTGCTTCAGGATTCATTTTGGTGGTTTTTCCTTGAAAATTTCGAAGTAAGAGAACTTTTTGCTTTAAAAATGTTCCCTTTTAACATTCTACTATAATAGGACTCTAAATAGGTTAATCTAATCAAAGCCATAAAAAAACACCTACGGTAGTTGCTGAATTTTTTGCACTGGAAAGATGTTAGCTTTGACGTCTAACCAAAAATAAAACGCTAAACTCCAAAGCCCTGATTTTGAGACATCATTACATTTAGTATTACTTTTCAAAACCAAATTTGTGCTGTGCGCAGCAATCAGATTGATTATTATTCTTTTTCAGCACGATCCAACTGCACAAGATAATCTTTTCACTAGAATTGCGGATAGTTATGTTGCGTTATTTATGAGTGTTAACTTGGATGTTCGGGACAAAGTTCTCCAGGTTTGCTTTTTGTTTCAGACTTTTATACCATGTAACCCAATATGTTATATTGTTTGATGCAGAGCTGTGAAATAGGAGAAAATTAACGCCCGATTACAAACTCCGAGTCACAACGACTCGGGCTCAATTCCTGACTTCTGGTGGATTGAATTTCTCAACTCGCTATTTCTTGTATGTGCATTCTAGATAGAAATGCATGTGTCATCTATATACATGTTTAAGCGAGTGTTCAATCTCTTTTTCTCGCGCAGTGGGTTATGCATCCTGATAACGTTAGGATTGGGCATGCTATCGCAATTCTGAATTCTCTGCGCCGGTCCACAGGTTCGAATGCCGTGGGTGGTAATTATGTGCGTGAGGAATGCTGGACTTCTCCGTGCCGTAGGGTGGTTCACGTAATCGCTGGTCGGATACGGCTTCCTTCACCATCAAGTCCATGCACCTGAAACAAATAACTGGCCAACTAATCTCATAACCGACTGGGACTGGTAACCGGACGAGAGGCATTGGTATGTCCTATGATCAAACCGTCTTATCGACTTTCTTCTCCCTCGGGATAAATATTAAAATCCCCCGGGATAAATATGTAAATCTTATCCTTATCTTATCTATTTAGTTTGGTCCCAGAAAAAATTTTCACTCCATTATAGTGAAACAATTTTACTTCGACACCGTGAGAGTGCAGCAGAGGGCAACTATTTTTTGAAAACGATCGTCACTTTTCCTAGGTTTACCCGCGATGCTTTTCCCAATGCGTGTACTTGACATTTCGCGAAGCATTTCCAGAATCACACGACAGATTAGCAGAGGAATTTGTAACTGAAGTATACGGGACAATTTCTGAATGGATGAGCGGTTAGTTACTCGACAATACACTTTGTAAACATCTGCAAATCTGATGCCTGATAATAATCTGATAACCCTAATTGTACTAAATCATTTAGGACATTTAAGTTATTGACTTCAGTTTCCAAAGTCAAATGGTAAATTTTCTGAATTGTTCTGATATTTTATGTATATCAAGTTAATTAAAACTCCAATTCTTTGTGACATTCTTTTGATTCCGTTTACCACACAGTTAAAAAAAATTTAAGATATCTAGTTTTTCACAATAAATTAAATATATTGATACCGAAACGTTGATGTAACCCGATTGTGACCAAAACCTGACTCAAGCAGAAGTTACCATTTCACTTACCAAAATGATAGTAATATTTTTTCTCTCTCACTGCTAAATTGTTTTACTGCTATGAAATCATCTATTTTGAAGCGTCGTAAAGTAAGCGAGGCTTAAGATTTGAATTTTCATAAAATTAGGAAATAGAAATCGATTATTAGGTAATATAATAAACATTATATTACTCATTAACTTATTGGATATTGCATGATCAGTAAGACATTTTTTTTGAGACTGTTACGGAACTCCACGAAATAAAGTATTATTCTAAGCCCCCAAATTAGTATACTAGTTATTGTACAAATAAATGCAACAGCCACTGCATTCCCCTTTTAATAAACTATAATACTTCCACTTTGCAGGTGTTAAGCCACCTCTGTATGAATGGAAACGATGGCCATGGGATAGAATTTGTTCCCCCCCAACTATAGGTAAAACTGAAACTTTACCGAGAACTGACGTAGAAAAAGCACACAGCGCACGAAAAGCCGCAGATTACATTCGTGATCGTGAGTCCTAATTAAGTAATTAAGGTTTTTTAAAATGTGTTTTCGCTGGGAAATTCAATATTTCATCAGATTCGATGAATCATATCACCACGAAAACAGTGAAAACTGGTTTCGATATTTTTATATCGATTTTAATCAAGATAAATAACATGATAGTTGAAACCGTTTATCATCATACACATTGTTATGAAAACAAATATTATGGTTTAATAGTAAAAATTTTCAAAATTGAAAAAATGACAACAGAAAGCTACCAATAATGTCTTCTATCATGGATGGTGAATTTATATGAGGTGGAGCCGTTGTAAATAATTTCACTTCTTGTCAAAACGCTCATTCAAAACACCATTGAGGCGGCCAGTTAGGTCTGATGAATTCGAGGTCGACTGATAATTTCAGATGGTAGAAGATTCGATTCATATAAGGATCTGTGTGCATACAATTCCCATTGGTGTTTAGTAAAATTTAACACTAACAGAGAGGAAGCGAATAGTTTGACCCCATGGATGTTTGTAAAAGATTTGGAAATAGTTCTGCCTATAATCAGGTAAAGGCAGCGAAAACAAAAATATCGGCAGAGTTAGAACTGAAGAACTTTTAGCACAGTGGCTGGTGCACACTTTTCCTGATTCTTGTGACTCTTTTCTAACGTGATAAATCTCCTTTTTTGCATTTCTCATTCATTACCAACACCTATTGTACCAAAATCTATTGTATTTCGCTGAAATGCACTTTGCTTATGCATAGATGTACAACATCTTAAGATTTACAAATTAGCAGAGGTGTGTCACTAATATTCATTCGTATGAATCAGAATTAGTAGTTCATTTTGTAACTTACTGAAAATACACCTTGTACGTACAGAAGAAAACATTAAAAATGGCATAGGAGTTGAAAGGAGGTGTGGAAACCTACATCTCACACAGTACATACCACTTATATTCTGCGTGTTAGGCTTGTGGCATTCACCTGAAAAATCGTTTATATGACAACATAATGTGGCAATTTTTGTGGTCGTATTAGTAGTTGGTTAATTTTATGCTTACGAGGTTTATTGAATTAATTAACCGTGGAAGAAAAGTGTCGCTACATGATAACATTGGTTATGGAGAATGTTCTTTCTGAATATATGAATGTTTTCATTGATAAAACAGTTATTTTATGACGTTCGGGAAACCAAGCCTCTTCCATACCTTTATTTTTACATTTTATAATCAATGAATGAAATCTCAGATTGTGATTGGAAAATGAACTGTTGAGTTCAAAATAACGTCATCTGCATATTTTTGTGCTACAATTTCGAAAGCATCGTTTTTAACATTATTTCGCTTATCCCATTTTTTAAGTTTAAACTTGATCTTCAATAGCGTGTCTAACTCCTCACTTCCCTTGGAGATTGGGGGCATGGGACGATTCTCTGGATGCCACGAGCAAATGTCTCTCTCTACTTGATAATATTCACCATGACTTATTATTTTGAAATAAACTGAGTGCTATTTGCTTGATTCTTTGTTTGAACGTTGAATGTATGAACTCGAAGCATTTTTACTAGCATATGCATATTTAAGTTTGGAAGGCACCCGTTATGTTCACAGCAAACAAGAATACACAAATATATAGACACAAAAGCCTGAAAATCACCTCCATACATAACCCATTTGTTGTCAACGAGAACAAGAAATTTTTGAAAAAGATAGGGGTAAAAATACAGCATAATAAAACGTTTATGGGCATTATGTAAAAAATTCGAAAACGAAATGTCGAGTCAACATCAAGAACAACAATTCAGCAAAATGATCGATAATTTTATTTTCCATTAAATTAGAAGAATCGGTGTTGACTTATTGTAAAAAAAAACATGCCCTACATTACGCTACAGTGAATTGTTAAAAGCCACTGTACATTAGAGACAGAATATTCTGGTGATAAGGAAATGGAATATATTCAAAAACGTTTTCTATATACGATCACCGATAGCTTTATGCTATCCGAAAATTTTTTTAAAATCGGGCATATCAAAGTTTCCATTCTCAAACGTAAATTGCGTCTCGTTTTGCAAGTAGTAAATGGAATACATTAAATAACCCAAGGGCTTAGGTAAACCGCGCTTGAAATGAACGCTCTTTCGCTACTCGAATTATTTTTATTTATTATTATATGTTGACAGTTATACCAACCGTGAAATCTCATTAATTTTTACATTTTTTTTTACAAAATTGATATCAACTGCAAGGCACACTCATGACAGTTAATTATATATTACGAAGGTTTGATACCGATCACTTGTTTCATTTCTCATCAGAATGACGTTAGTTGATGTTGTGACGAAAAATATGTCTCGTCTAACATCAAGTGTAAATAAACAATATTGTTATCAAGATTTCTCCTATCTTGATCAGCACTGAAACTGTATCATTTATTTGATGGAATTTAGTGATGAAACGAGCATATCGACGGAAATGCTCAGCAAAATGATTCACTGTAACTTGCATTTGGCTGTTATTGAATTACGCGGTTTTGTTCCCATTTCAATCGCTCGACAATTATCTAAATTATATGCATATAAAGTAGTATCAACACAGTGGCGTATGTGTGTTTGCTTTTTTTGCTTATATGTCAAAGTGTCGCATAAAGTTATAAAAAAAATAATCGGTACTCCCGCAGTATATGTACCAGGTTAGGTTTTTAGACCATAATTTTATTCAGATTTTCCTCAAGCTTCCCAGTTAAACTGAGAATATTTTAGTTCTATTGCGAGTTCGGGGACTGTCTGTGTTAGCCAAGTGAATAAACCCCCTGCACATAAGCTTCAGTCCCTTTACACAACTTGATGTAAAATAGGCGAACAAAATTAATTACTTCAAATTCAATATTTGTACACACACTTCTGGAGCGCCAAATAACCTACACAGAACCTGTCATAAAAAATATCACCACAAGTAGGCATTGCTTCCACTGATAAATAAGCCATCAGGATATTGAAATTGTCTAATATGTATTTTCAAATTCTATTAGATTTTACTTTCGATCTTATATTGATTTCACAATAAAAAATGATTCCAGTTTGCTACAATCATCGAGCGGGCAGTACGAATGGGCATCGAATGTTGATAGTTATCCGAATAGCATTTATGCATTGAAGGCTTGTGGACAATAGGCCGAACATTTTCGGTTCGATACGATATTAAATTTTAGGTTGGGACGTGGGTGAATCGACGAGGTTAGGAATGCGGGGTAAAATAAAAAGCAAGTATACAAAATTATTATTCACCCCGGATCCTATAATGTTCGTTTTCCCCAGTTCTTTTTGTCTAGTCTAGCTAGATCACAACATCATGTACAATGTTGATTATTCAATTTAATTGATGTATGAATAAACTATTTGAACTCTATAAAGGAAATTGTTATGTTTTTGTATCAAATTCATAAATATCGTTTCTAAAATTTAATTGAGTTTTCAATTGAATCCTAATTTTCGAGTATTCCTATATTAAAATTTTAATACTTTCAAGTTGGTCGTAATTTTCGAATTACAATAATAGTGATATAAAAGCCTTTTTATTCTTCGCCGAAAACATAACCGCAATCTTTTATTTCATGTCACGCGATTTGTACATTTTCACGTAAAATATTGTACATGTGACGAAAATAACTAAAACATTTTCAAATTACGGATTCATGAAACGTTCAAGTTCAAAGAATTATAACTAATTAACTAAGCTTTATAATATACTGCTATAAACGATAATGTATTCACTAATATCATGCTGTGTTTCAAATCAATTTGTCAGAAAACTTTGGGCGCAAATCTCTGTTTTTATATATATTATTAATCACGTACTGTCTAATAAAGCAGAAACAGTAACTAGGATTTTGAGTTGTTAATTTACTGGTAAATTTTGGTATTTTTTTCGGAATTTCCATAAGGTTTTTAATAACGAAAATAATGGTATTTACTTTTACTAGGGTAAAGCCACACAAAGCGAAGTACGAAAGTAAAGGTTTCCGCGTTTTTTACATGGCGCGTCAAATTTCGCACCGATAACGATTTAATTTAGTAATTGCGCTTAATTATTTCGATGATTCCCTATTTTTGACCGATAAATCCTTCATGGTAAATCAAGATATGCACTATGTGAAAAATGAAAAAATTAACTTCAAATTAACGCCAGTGATCCATCTTTACGCCCACCTACTGTTCCATATTTAAAATTAATTTCTAATCTAGAATGGCCATATATAAAATATCACTGAGTCATGTAAGACTTCAGATAGAAAAATAATATTTCGCCTTAGTATTACAGTTAATTTCCATTATATTTAATATTCCCGTTTTCTATTTTTCAACAGCATGTCTGTACGAAAGATTTGGTTATGATAGTCGTCTTTGCGATATCCTGTCTGAGTATGCGGAAACATAAAAATGATAATTACTGGCATATTTTTCCGCAGCACTGCACGCAATAATATTTCTTACAGGAAAATACATTTCCGATGGCATACCTGTGACGAAGTTTATGTTTTTCTATCGCAAAAAGTCTTCTTACATTTTATTATTGTCACAAGAACGGCGTCCCATATGGTCCTATACAGAGGAGGTCCGTTGACTTCAATATATTCATCCATTCATTAAATTTAGCGTATAATTCAGATAAGATACGAGTAGGCTCTATTATATAACGCAACCCGTTATATAAATAATTATACTTTGACTGCTCGAAACTACCTGTTTCGAAAATCCCAATCAAACTTGTCGAAACCGATGTTGTTAAAAACTCAACCCAACATCATCAAAATTTGTATAATTCTGTATGTAGCTGTTTATTCATAACATTCTTTCGTGACAAATTTTTCAAATATTTTGTGAATATTTTTATCTTTTCTTATAAAATCGATAAACGCTTTCTCTTGTCAAAATACTCTTTAGATAATATCGTTGTACGGACCACACAAATATAAGATCTCCCGTGATGCAATGACATGCTGTCGAACCAAGATCAGCATCATTTATCTGACGTTTAGCGATAATTGTAAACATTTTGTTTTGAAGTGCATCACAGTAATATATTCTGATATTCATTATCAGTAGATGACGTTTGTAGGGATTCTCAATTGTGTCTCCGTTAAGTGTACGCGGTTTATGAAACAAATTGACGCCAAATCGAGTCGTATGCACTGTCCGGGGAGCCGAAGCGTGGAGCCATGGAGCCGTAACTTTTGTTGGAGCTGGAGCCCAACTCCGACGTAAAAAAAATTGAAACTTCGGAGTTGGTTCTGTAATTCCAAATCAGATCCCCAGCGGTTCTGTAGAGTAGTAATTCGTGTACATTCTCTAGTTGGCAAATTTGTGATTTTCACATTGTTGCAAATACTCAACACAATGTTATATCCTTCTAAATCGGCACGTTTTTCTCTAGTATAAATAGAAAATTTAAAAAAAAAACAGCAATACATGAAAAATCAACTTCCGTCCAGATATCCTGGAAATTGTCTCGTGAATCCCATCTATTCTAGAGAACCCTTGGTTTTTGCTATAAAGCTGTTCTGACAGAATATCTATTTGACTAACGCAATGAGTATGCCAGCGAGTCACGAGTCGCTTACTATACTCTTCTCCTGATCCCACGGGATAAACAACCAAAACGAGAAATTTCCTATCTGTCATTGCGGTATCATTCTCATAGCAAATGCAATGAAACAAATTGTATATATTAAATGAGATTTATTTAAAATAATTTATAATAAATGAAACAAATAAAAAACAAACAAAAAATTGAAGAATGTAGTGCAAATAGTATAAATAATGTTCTACCGAAGTTGTGACAGATAAATATGAAAAAGCAAAAGAAAGATATATTCAGAGTTATTCACCAGTGGCTAAAAAAAATTATCATACGATGTTAATGAATTAATAACTTTGGTTGTGCTGTGGTATACTCAAACAAGAGATATCGCAATGTTCCCATAATGCAACTTAGCACTAAGTTCCCACAATGCAATTTAGCACTATGTTCCCATAATGCAATTTAGCACTTATGTTCCCATAATGCAATTTTTAGCGGGCTTCTATTTAAATTTTCGATTTGTCATAACTGTAACGTAAAACTTCAGACATGTTACCACGTAAGTGAAACTCCAGGCGTTGTTATGGCACTAATCTACATAAATAAAGCAATGCTAATGTTATTGCTAAGCAGGATTAGTTTCTACGAGCACTACGATGCGTCACATTTACAGTGAATAGTGACGAAGTTGAAAATGGTGAACGTTGTGGTCGTTTATTTTGCGCAAGAGAAATTAAAATCTTTTTCATTGTTTTCGCTTTATCGAATTAATTAAACGGGGTATTTTTGTACTTTACTAATTATTGAACAATTTACTAATTATAACGAGCGTAATTCGTTGGTAGCTTGTACGAAAAGCGGTTGGCGAGTGACGTTAACCCGCTTACTAGTTATTATTCAGGATCATAAAGAAATTTATTTATAATATAATGATGGCGTAATAATTATTAAAATACTTCAATTTAAATTACTTATGGAGCCACCTCGCGCGTAATTCGTTTATCTAAATCAGAGCAATTCATAAACTAAACCAGACACATAAAAAATTCCACAAATGTGACGAAAAATTAAACGAATTTACGACCATATACGTCGTCGTTTATGATATTATAATGCTAGGCAGCGTTGCATTCGCTGAGTCGTAATAGACTCGTTGTATGGTCATTTATTAGTTGTGCGAATTTAAGTTTTAATATTACATTGTAGTGAGCAAACGCTTACTATAGTATGCTTACTTCAGCTTACTGTGAATAGTGTACGATGATTGAAAACATTTAGCATAATATTATGTGAGCGTTTCATTATGTGCTGTAGTGGTCGTCCCAACGTTATGTATCAAATTCGACAATTTGGTCGTTTGTTGAGTCTTGAAAATGACATCTTAGTCAGTTGAATGCCATATGTGTGCGGATAAATGTAACTTCCGATGCACCAAGCTGCAATACCGAAATCCTTGTTTCATACTCGCAAAAGTACCGCAAAATCGTTTCTTCATATTCTATAAAAATGTATATTTTCGCAATGGACTGGGAAAGTTAAGTTGACGGGATGGCGGGGTGCTTGATTCTTTATTAGAATTATCCTCGTCTTCTGTTCTTTCTTTTTGTTGGCACCACAAGTTTCGTAAAAAGGGCTCCTTTGTTGCTGGCTTTCATTCTGTGACCTTTCTTAGCTTTTCCATTCTTATCGAACCCAACAACACGTGATCTTTTCCTTTTACGCCTTTTTGCCGATGTCGGCACTGCTTCGTATGTGAAGTAAAGACCGCTCTCCATTTTTTCATAAAATTTGCACTCGTCCGTGAATGTTTTCTGTTGAAGAAAAGAAGAATCAAGATTAGAAAACATTGATTTAGATATAAAATAAGGTCACTAATTCGATTGAAATACCCCACCAATTTGACATTTTATTGTCATCTGGATCTCGCCATTACAGAGATATCTTAGGTTTTCCAAGAGCGAACTTCCAGATATTCCTTATATTCATTTTCCGATATATTTGGATTTGTTTTTTATTTGTATTGTCTAAAGAGGCGATTCATTGGCAATATGTTGTATATGAATATAAAATCGGATAGTGATCTACTTACCGAACCGTATAAGTTTCCTTTGCGATTCATTGCAAGATATCTTTGACTTTTAGTGCCGTATATTGCAAGAACACCTGCCGCTATAGATTCAAGCCTTACGACATCTAAAAAATAAAATAAAAATTTAATATTCAAAAGTTGTAAAAACGTTTTTAACAACAAAGAAAATCATATATTTTAGGTTTGTATGTTATTTATTCAAATCAATGAATTTCATGTAAAATTTAGACGAAGAATTGCGTGCGGATCGTTTTCAATGAAATCACTTTTTCGTGGTGATCGTGTTGTCATAATGACCGACGGACCGAAATGATCGCCCCCAATTTCCAGATAAGACTGCAACCATTCGCGGTAAGACACGGGTGAGTGGTGGGCAGCGCCTTTAAGCCCTAAATCATGACAATCCTCCAATGAGATTTAACATTAGCATCGCGGCATTGACAACGTTTAGTACGCTCTCATGACACATATTGTAAAAAATTGCTCAAATTTGTTGTCATTTGGGGATAATTCTCGATGCTGGCCAGGTTGACACATGTCAGCTTGCATCGAACATAACAGCCAGATTTTATATGTCATGTCAATTTTTTAACAAATATTTTTCAACTTTGTAATAACAATAGGTTTCGCGTCTTTTGTTTCTTATTCCAAAATTTCGAAGGGAAAATAAATTTTTCTGAATCGCACAAACATTTCACTCTGTCAATCGCGACTAATCCGACTCCGCTATGCTAACCCGTATCATGCATTTTACTCGATATATATAAGCGGTCGTTAATAATCTGCCACGAACAGGGTTAGATCACGTCCCTTTGCCCCGTCTTTAAAGTTATCTGAAAACATCTTTGTTTGCTCTGCAAAATAGACCACCTGGCTGATCTCAAAATCCATGGCGAACCACAATCGCGCCCGGGGCCTATCCCAAATATCACCCGCATGAGAAACTAGAAATTAGCAGCAAATGTATTAGATTTTCTCCCATGTATTATAGTTTTCTATGTTTGCTCAAAGCTTGATCATTGCCCGAGAATATTTTTAACTGGGAGTGGTGAGGGATGTCGAATTAGCGTGTTCAGCTTGCATCGATTTAATTATTTTGTGGCGGGGATCGAAATTTTGCAAAGCTTGCAAAACTTGGAGTGGTGTATAGGTAAAAATTAATTCCCCCCGAAACGATGAGATTTATTACCGTTTCGTCATATAATTTTTGGGCGACTGTACGTCATTTCACGTATATTTTCCAAACCAACACGCATTTTTCTCATTTTAGTTACGTACGTTGATCGCTGTGTGCAATCGACGGTGTATTTATTATAGAATCAGATTTGCCGTTGCTTTTCTGTTTTATTGAATAAGTTCATTTAAATGATTGGCATTTATACGGAAACATAAATAAATATTCATATCCGGGAGGGATATTAATTTTACGAAGATCGCTGTCAAAATTCGTCGTTTTATGTTTCTATTTTGATATATATTTGATGACTGTCTGTTTAAATTCGTCAAATTGCAAATTTTTGCTGCAAAATTAGTTTCGTAAACAGCTATTTTAGTCATTACGCTTTTTCCTAAAATAAATTTTGTTTTTTGTATCGTTCTAAAGACTACGTTTCGTAGGAAGTGTATTTCTAACTCCCGACAAGTGTCGAAATGCGCAACGATGGAATAAAAGACTCGAATTTCAAAGAAGTTACAATCTTTAAATATGCTTTGTTTTAAACTACGTAAAATTGGGAATAAATCGCAATTTCAAAGCGCATAGAATTAAATTTTCGATAATCTGATTTCATAGAAAACACATTTTTCAAATAGTGTTTCTTTTGGCTTCCTAGGTAACATAATTTAATTTTTCATATCGGGGCGTACTGTTAGAATAGCCAAAATACATGGTAATTATAAAACTTCAATAGTGTCCGCCCTATACTTGTTATTGAATTTTATTTTTAAATGCAATTGACTCGAAATCTTCAGTAAAATAACCGCTAATCCGTAATTACAGCTGTGATCAATGAAAGCGTGACAATACGAATTGTGATTGGGAATTTCAGTGCACTTGAAAACATTTTCGACTAAAATTTTTTGGGTTATGCGGTGCGAAATACTAATCTAACTTCGTAGCGGTCTTATCATTGACAGATATTATCTAACTGTAGTTGCCGTGAGACGAAAATGATCGATATCAGTACCGCCTTGACATAATTACCAACGCAAATATTTCTATCGTCGGTACACGTCAAATTATTCGCAGAAAAAGGGATAAAACAACTTGTTTAGCGGTGAAATAATTTTTTATACTTGTTTAAGCAATTAAAATATTCTTTTTAATGAACCTAACGAATTTACATACCTAACAATATACCGCCTTGTTGTGATTTGCATAACATTGGAAACAAACCAATAGGTTAGCAAAACCGCTCGGAATTCCCATCTTGTACTATTGCAAGATTCATATTGCGTGCAAACTATAATGTCAAACATGTAATGCCTTTTTTATGATTGGATTTGTGCAATTAGGTTACAGGTATATTTGTTATAGGCGTGGTGTGCTATCCAGAACTTATTTGAGCGTAATAATTTGCCATGCATTCTCCGTGAGAGACACGATCTTTTAGAGATTTGACTCAAAATTTTGAAAATCGTTCTAATAAAAGAAATCGAATCGTAAATGCATACGCCATAGCCAGATTTTTTTAGTATAACATAGCAGATGGTGCTGTATGACTAAACCTTTTGAAATGTTTGTATCGGACTTAAAGGGGAAATTCACTTCGATTGCAGATTATCGTTGTTTACTTTATTTTAACGAGTTTATTATTTTACACTTCATAAACTTAATACCATATTTCGTTTCAATATTCAAACGAGATTGTTTACCTTTGTCGGTAGTTTGCACCTATAAGTTGCTCATTAATTCGTCATAGCAAACATAATTTAACTGAAAGAATGGATAAGCGGTTGGAAATAAATCAAGAGGTTAGTTAATCTCACAATAGATTATTATACCGGTTACCCCGCTGTTTATCCGCGTCTATAGGAAAAATTACCGAGTTTAAACGGGTTTGACTGCTACGGCGTTTTTTGTTTGTTTGAAATAAATGTAAAATCTCTTTCATTGAATAAAAGTCATTCTGCTATTTTGAAAACTTTTGTTAGTTAGAGCCACCCGCTATGCCACGTACTTTGTTTTGCAAATCGCTTTTTTATTTGGATTATTCGCATTGCAAAATACAATGTCGTCGAAACAAACCAGCGTCACCTTTTCATTACAAAAACCATTCAACGGAAAATTGTCATTTGGATTGACGTGAAATCGACGCACGGCGTATACCAAATTGTGAACCCCGAGTCTATTATTGATTTGTCTGGTTTGGGTATTAAAAGTTCATTTGTTCATCCTTATGCAGTATTGAATCAATGTTAGACTTCATCATAAGAGTATTATGATAGTTTAGTATTGAAATAAAAATAAGTTAAATAATATCTCTTTCCCAGAAATAAGAACGCTTTCTTTTCAATTTAATAGTGCATTGTCCCAATTTTAGCTTCCATGCCTTGTTATTTCGTGGAAAGAGATTGTAATATTTATGACATAGTGATTGTTTTGTTTTTCTCGTGAATAACAGTTAAAATATACTCACTGTAAGAGCTGTTCTGGTTGAGCGTTCCGCGAACTTTTCCATTCTTTAGAATTTCGAGAAAATATGAATTGCGTGCGTATAATCGTTGAAGAAGGGTGTGTCTTATTAAAAATTTTGGCGGAACTCCTCGTTTCGCTGCCCGTTCTGTTCTTTTCCTTGAAGACATGGTTATAGAAGTCGGCGCGACATCGGCTAGTGGCCAAATAAGCTCATCCATAACCGTTGATTCGGTGCTATCTTTTACATCCGAAGTTGCCCACTCGATGTCAGTGTCGCGACTTAATGAAACTGCGAAAGTCAAAGAACTGTGCAAGATTGTCAAGATTGTTAGTAATAATAACTTTCGGAAAATGGACGAGTTTGCAGAAAGATCTTTTGTTGTTCCAAATCTTCTTTTTGAACTCCCTTCGCTCTTTGCTGAAAAATTTCTCGTTTTTATATATATTGAAGAATATGCGGTACGTTTTGTGTTAGTTTCATCAAACGTTGCAACCACTTTCCGATGCGGGTTTTCGCAATTATAGGCTGAACTTTTCACGGAGTGTGTATTGTGCGAGTTAACAGTGTCCATAACATCAGAGTCTGTAATTGAAAGTTCGGCAGGAATCATCGTTCGGTCGCTGGCGGTAAAGTGGCAGCAATCTCTGACACCGGTATTTGCGGTTAAATTTCTTCTGTTATTTCCCGGTGTGCGGTCGCGTTCCAACCTCTGTCTTGCATACGTAGATGAACATGCAACACCTGCTCTGGATTCGTTGCTATAATTAATGAATGGAACTGGTCGCGAGCAAATAATCTCCATTGGATTAGTAACGTGTTGTAGGATTTTGTGCAATTGATGAAGAATGTTGGCAAGTCGTGAGGTTTCCACGATATTTAAATTTTCAAGTTCTATCGTCATGATATATTTTGTCGTAGGAATATGTGACTTTAATCGCACGTGTTATGAATGAAGCCTGCTACACAGACAATCATGTAACACACTTGTCGACATTAAAATTGTTGTTTATAATCTAAGATTTGACTGAAAAAAAAAAGAAAAAAATGAAAGCTAAATATCCCATTTGATAAGCGAAAAAGTATTATTTTAACATTAAAAGACCATTTCAACTATATTTCCCACATACTGCTTGAACTACGCACTTCATACAAATTTAAAAACAAGGCCGCTCAATTAATTTTGATTCCTTAATTAGAGATCAAGAGCCAGGCTTAACGGAGCCGCCTCGGCTTACTCCTGTATTATACCGTCAACAAGATAGATAAATCCCGGCCTTTTATGTTTTTTTTCAGAAATTTACCAGTGATTTTCTGCATTTCATATCTGTGTAAATGGGAAAATGCACCGGTCATCTTCTGTCAGTCGCAACGTATTTCGACAAACAACAGTTCGAAACTTTCATGTTACTAATCACACCATTGTTAGTCTCTGTGGTACTTTAGACTAAATACATATGTCAAAGTAATGCTTTTTCGCAAATACTGTATTTTCCATGAATAATATTACACAATGCACGATTCACATATCTAGTATTATCGTTGTTTTAACAGCTTACTTCAGGCCTGTAACTCGTAAAATTAACTATTTATAAATTCGCTTGTTCGACTACTATCGATGGAGGCGGAACAGGTGTCCGCACTGCCCGCTGGCCTAAAGTTTGTGATCGGGTCGAACGTTTAGCCGCTCTTTTATATGAAGGATAACTATTTTCGTTAATGCTGACTTCTGTGAGTATAGCCACAAAGAGGCGCAAAGCAATATTTTTTCTTTTATTTTCTCGAAAAAAGTCGTCAAAATTGCAAAGTTTTTTTCTTCTTTCACGAAGTCGTAGCGTCAATAAGACGAGCAAAATATATGTTTTCGAATTTTTTTCTCAAAAGATTATCGTCGTGTGCGTGTGCTTGAAACTGAAGCCACAAATCTACTTAAGATGATGATAATTAACCGACCGAAATCAACTGATTCGAAATGTTTGTTTACGTATTGTCACTTTTGGCATAGGAGATTTTACCTTTCCGTATCCATGCTAAATATTCGTCGTCTTCGGCGATTTTAACAAATTTTACCGACGGTTACAGCTTCATTGGCGGCGATAATTATGAAAAAGCTTGGACAACAAATTTCAACTTCAACAATTTCTATAGAATATTACTGATAGAAAATAATACCGCCCATTAACATGCATAGCCATACTTTTTAGCGATTGGTGATAAAAATTTCCAATGGCCATCATTTCCAAAAGATTTAGAATCTTATAATAAAAAAAGCAGCTAATAATGTCTATGTATTGCATGCAAGGGGCTGCAGCAATGTCATATCTCATTATTTATCAAGTTATTTGTGTGGAGTAGGGTGATACCGTACATCGCATGACGTGACAAAGTCGCGATATAAAAATCTCTAGGGTATAGATATTGATCTAATTCGACTAAAATAACACCTTCGGTCTACTGATATGGCGTTGGATCACGAAGCTTTATTTATTTATTTGCTTATCAACTAACCATGTTTCTTTTTTAATTTTGTCGCGATATTACGTTCTTCTGACAGTTATTGGAGAAGCGAAAATTCTATGGCAAAGGCAATCAATGTTTTGTTTTTGTAACGTGTAGACAGAGAAGAAAAAGCCGTACTCCCGTAATGTGTGTACCAGGTTAGGGTCAGGCCATAATTTTATTCCGATTTTCCTTATTTTAGTTCTTACGAGTTCATGGACTGTCAGTGTTAGCCAAGTAATATACCACCTGCCCATAGGTTTCAGTCCCTTTACACAACTTGATGTAAAATAGGCGAACAAAGTTAGTCACCCCCATATTGGTACACATACTTCTAGAGCGTCGAAAAATAAACATTCTACCTATCACGATAGTTTAGTTTGAACTCACCTGAGCGCAGAAATGTATTTGAATCTCAATTAACACAACGAACTAAATGGGGAATTTTCATTTTCAAGCGATTTTACACAACACAACTACATTGTTAAAAGTTTTTTTATTTCATATCTTTCTAATCCTGATACACATTTTTACTATGTGGCCGTGTACAATGTTCCCTCCTTTTATTGCACTTTAACAGAACGTTCTGGAGCTGTATTATCCCAGACACAACAAAGCTACGTCAGATAGAAAAATGGTGTGGGTTACGTCATATTCATTTACGGTGTGATTTTTATACTCGATAAGGTTTTGTATGTATATGATCAAAATTGAGCGATTACGTGACGCGAAAACCATGATAGACAAGCCGTCTATTGTAAATTATATACACAGAACGAAATCCCGTAATTTGACCAATCATGTTGTTTGATTTACACCTAGCAGGATTGTTTCGTAATATGTATGGTAAGTTCTGTCCTGTCACCATTGAGATTTGGATGAACAGACCGTACTTGTGAATGTATATCAAAGATAATTTTTTTTAAATAAATGAAAACATGAAACGTAACTTTTTACGTCACACTTACATGGCCACTCTAGGTGGGCATAATTTTTGGCGAAAGACTATCAAAGTCATCAACTAGCCTAACCCGTAAACAGAATCGAAGAAAACAGACCAGAAATTTAGTAGTTTTCCTAAACTTGACTTTTCAAAATTTACTTTTTTCCTTTCTTGTCGCTTTGTTATATATTGTCGGAAACGCGCCCTATATACCACATAAACATTTGAAAATGAGTTATTATACAACATCACAATACTTGCGCTTTCATAAGCTACTTACTGCCTATAACATTGCTTCAAATATTGACTACCGTCACAGGTGAAAGAGTTGTTTTTGGTCGTAGTAGTTTGTCTCACAATATTATGTCGGATAACGATGAACTGTTTAGATCTAAATGGCGTTTGATGTTGATGTAATCCGCTTAAGCATACCGCCCAACTTTCTCTCACGCTTATGTCATGCTGTCAAAAGCTTTTTAAAATTAAGCGCAATTTGTTAAAGGTTTATGTCATTCGACTATCCTGGCAAGCCGGTCCTTTTTTGAATGTGCAATGGATAAATCATATCATCCCATAAAATTAACAAACTCTTAGTTTTCACTATTTTTTTGTAAATGAAATTTCACATTCGAGAAGTAAGCTTTTACTTGAATTGTCCATACTAAAACGCATTAAAGTATTTGAGACGGGTGTTGGATATGCCTGCGCGTAAAATAACCACAAATATACCCTCGTAGATAGAGCCTTGGCGCTATTTACCATTCCTCTTCCTATAATTACTAAAACATTATCATTAAATCCTCTTTATATGTTTAATGTGGGTTTCAGAGATTACTAAAAGGCAAAATAGCTTATCTTCATAGCTATATATAATATTAACCCCTTAGTTTTACAGGGAGTTGTTTCAGTTATTGCAAATTCATTCTTGACTACGCGTTAGGGATCCGTTTTACCAGAACTTTCCTATTTGAACTCGTTACTTTTACCTTATTTGTTTTATATATATACATTATATATATACATTACCTTCAGTTCTAAGTTCATTTGTTATTATGACGCTTAAGGCACCCTGTTAGACGCCAACCAAAAGCAAGAACTTCCAAGTCAGATGTAATTAGTACGAAATGCAATTCTCTATGTGTTGTTATATTTACTTATATTATAATCACGATACATAGCGTAATATATGACTATTCATCTATTTGCCCGTCCTCTTTTCTCGTCAAAGTTTTTGTATAAAAAATATATCTGTATATATAATATATCGAAATATCTGTAAAATATATAAATTTATTATTTTGATGTTTTTTTTTAAAATTGGTTGGTATTTTGGGTCGCCAAATGCTCAACCAATTTCCATTTTGCAACATTCGATCGATCTACGTGCTTTCCTACATGTGTTTTACATTACTAATCATATTTAACTTTAAATATCTTAGTCGAAATCGAAAAATTAATGGTGTGATACAGCTGTGTGATACGGTCATATCTAAGAACAATAAATTCGAAAAAGTTTGAGAGAAAATTTACGTAAAACTGTAGGCAATAGGTAATGACTTTGTAATTGATTAAATTAATTATGTTTTCCTATTAAATTCCTATTAAAATACGTGCCATTGTGTCCGATCTCTCTGAACAAAAGCTTAATAATTTTAAACATATATTCAATTTAATTAACCGGGAAAAGTTAATAGATTCTATTTCTTGCTCCAAATTGCGATTATGATTATCGATGCGTCATCGAATTATGAAATTTTCTTCCTAATATAGTATCCTGTTTGATAACTACTGTATGTTACAAACCAAAGTCTTTTTTTGTGGGTTCTGGGACGGAATGGTTTACTTTAAAGCGTTGTCACGTAAGGAAACCTGCTTCCTAAAATATGGATCAAATGCATTTAGTTTTATGTCTGCGGTTTCCGATAATCATCCAAGTGGGTTGGTAGTATTCCAATACTATAATTAACTTGTTATTTCTTGATTTGTCAAAGAATAGTATAACTGACTGAGTATGAAATACTTTGTCAGGTTATGCTATAATTTTTCAACATCATGCATCAAAGCGGGAGTGTGCAACCTGCGGCCCGCGGGCCAAATACGGCCCACAGGAAAAAACTGTGCTGCCCGAGGAGAAGTGCCAACTTTGAATGGTGTGCGGCCCGCGACACGAGTTTTTAATTTAGTTTAATCTGATACAGGCGAGTAATTCCAATTCTTTTGCGCTGCAAAGTTATAACTGAGCTTGTGCGAAGCTAACAACGCATGTCATAAGATGAATATCCAAATTTTTGTGCTCGCAACTACTAGAAAGCCTATGTTAAATGTTAAATAAAGGTGCGGTCCGCGGTTTCACTCAGTTATATGTATCTGGCCTTTGTATTGAAGATTGCACACCTCTGCATTACTACATCGGCCGTTCAACATCGCGTATAACCGGGAACTGCACTCTAAAACTCTGATTTTACTGTCTGTCATCGTTCAATAAAAATATTAAGATCGCAAAAGAGTAATATTATATAATCTGAAAATCAATGGGTTATCCACATTTGTGCATTTTTTTTTGTCTTTTCCGAAATCTCAGAAATGGTGAATAGAGAGATATTTAGGTACTCACGTAGTATATGTACCAAGTTGGGGTTAAGCCATAATTTTATTCCGATTTCACTTAAGCTTTCCTGTTGAACTGAAAATATTTTAGTTCTATTACGAGTTCGGGACTGTCTGTGTTAGCGAAGTGAATATACATACCTCCTGCCCATAGGTTTCAGTCCCTTTACACAACTTGATGTAAGTAAAGTAGGCGAACAAAATTAGTTATCTCCATACACTTCTGGAGCGCCGAAATTTGTAAATAATTGCGATAAATCTGAATAATTATTCTCTTGATGAGATATTTTAACAATTTCAATAACTATTGTCGCAAGAATTTTCAAATTTGTGTGCTCTACGGGTAATTCTCAAGAATTATGTTCCTTTGGTTCTCATCCTCCGATTTGCTCGGGAAATTCTTATTTTAAGTGCCATTGCTATTTTTGAGTAGAAAAATCTAAAAATAAGGTCTATTTGCTAATTATTACCCTCATTTTTAACTTATTTATATTTTGTACCACAACTTAGGTATGACCGTGGTTTACTTTGCTCCAATTATCGCCTTAATTGCGATTTTTCGACACAAAAGTTATTGCCCGTAAT